CTGAAAACCACATTTTTTAAAAAATTCTTTTGCCTATACTAGCAATAGCTAAATTGTGCTAAATGCCTGGCCTACAGCATTTCTCTGATAAAGCTCAAAGCTCAAAATGAGACAGACAAAAGTATCAGAAAATGAATATACCACCAAGTCATTAAAGGAATGATCCTTCACAGTTACTATTTTGACATATGCTGATGTATGAATGAAGCAATGGCTGGAGTATGAAATGGCAATACCGAAGTAATGTTCTAGAGCGATGTCCCCCAGATCTTTTTTACATAATTAAGCAAAATTAAGACTTCTGGAGATATGAAACAAAGCCTTGGAACTATTTTTTAAATGGTACTTTAAAAATGGTACTTAAAAGGAAAAAAAATGAATGAAGCAATGGCTGGAGTATGAAATGGCAATACTGAAGTAATGTTCTAGAGCGATGTCCCCCAGATCTTTTTTACATAATTAAGCAAAATTAAGCCTTCTGGAGATATGAAACAAAGCCTTGGAACTAGTTTTTAAATGGTACTTTAAAAATGGTACTTAAAAGGAAAAAAAATGAATGAAGCAATGGCTGGAGTATGAAATGGCAATACTGAAGTAATGTTCTAGAGCGATGTCCCCCAGATCTTTTTTACATAATTAAGCAAAATTAAGCCTTCTGGAGATATGAAACAAAGCCTTGGAACTAGTTTTTAAATGGTACTTTAAAAATGGTACTTAAAAGGAAAAAAAATGAATGAAGCAATGGCTGGAGTATGAAATGGCAATACTGAAGTAATGTTCTAGAGCGATGTCCCCCAGATCTTTTTTACATAATTAAGCAAAATTAAGCCTTCTGGAGATATGAAACAAAGCCTTGGAACTAGTTTTTAAATGGTACTTTAAAAATGGTACTTAAAAGGAAAAAAAATGAATGAAGCAATGGCTGGAGTATGAAATGGCAATACCGAAGTAATGTTCTAGAGCGATGTCCCCCAGATCTTTTTTACATAATTAAGCAAAATTAAGACTTCTGGAGATATGAAACAAAGCCTTGGAACTATTTTTTAAATGGTACTTTAAAAATGGTACTTAAAAGGAAAAAAAATGAATGAAGCAATGGCTGGAGTATGAAATGGCAATACTGAAGTAATGTTCTAGAGCGATGTCCCCCAGATCTTTTTTACATAATTAAGCAAAATTAAGACTTCTGGAGATATGAAACAAAGCCTTGGAACTATTTTTTAAATGGTACTTTAAAAATGGTACTTAAAAGGAAAAAAAATGAATGAAGCAATGGCTGGAGTATGAAATGGCAATACTGAAGTAATGTTCTAGAGCGATGTCCCCCAGATCTTTTTTACATAATTAAGCAAAATTAAGACTTCTGGAGATATGAAACAAAGCCTTGGAACTATTTTTTAAATGGTACTTTAAAAATGGTACTTAAAAGGAAAAAAAATGAATGAAGCAATGGCTGGAGTATGAAATGGCAATACTGAAGTAATGTTCTAGAGCGATGTCCCCCAGATCTTTTTTACATAATTAAGCAAAATTAAGACTTCTGGAGATATGAAACAAAGCTTTGCTGAATGTGCTATAAAGATGGCAGTGTAGGAATTCTTAATGCAATACATATGGGAAGCTGGAAAATGTACTGTACGGATGTGCAACATCAGATCGTGCTCTGGTTTGTACCAACAGATCAGTAGCCAGTCTTGGGTGGTTTGAGCTCTCTGGCTCCTGGAACTTGGCTATATTTATCCCAGCTGATGTAGCCTGTCAAGTGTGTCCTGCTGTTGATAAGGTGCTGTAGTTGACAACAGTAAGGGATCAAGGGGGAGGAGCAGGATGGGGGCTTCCACTGAGTGTTTCTTTAGGGGATCTCAAAAGCCCTGCCGTCTCATTCCCGTTTAGCTCGGACCCTGCTTTCTAGATTCGACTGGGAGCAAAGTGAAGATGCCAGAGCCTCTAAAGAAACCAGGTAAGGATCATAACTGACAGACAAAAGCCATGAACAGCTTGATGGAGAAAAATGTGAGTAGCTTTTGTATGCTAGATAAATGAGATGCCTCAGGAAAAAAAAATAGAGAGGAAAAAGAGGCGATATTTTATGAAATTATAAATATTTGAAATGTTGAGGAATCTTACAGAGAAATCAGTAACTAGTCTGGCAACCCTTGGCCACAGAATTTTCTCAAGAGACTTTGGACGAGGAGAGAATAGAGGCAAAACACATTTAATTCTCAGATTCTTTTCATTTCTCATTTCCTTTCCTAGTCGCCTTTAGGACTCTGAAAAAAAGACTTGTCGTTTCTCTCTTGGGCTGTTAGACAGTACAAAACTCTCCTGGTTTGCTTTTTGGTTTTTTTTCTCTGATACTTTCAAGGAAGTGTACAAGGCAAACTTTGATGATATTTGTTGTTAGTGAAATCTTCATGAAAATGAAGCAAATGACAACTGGTTCAGAGCTTACACTTTCTAGTTTTACCAGTCAGTGACAGCAGAGCTCTACAAAAAAAAAAAAAAAAAAATTCTTGTACTGTAAAGAATATATGTCTATTTCTTCTCACTCACCCTCTCCATCCTTTCCCCTTGAACCAGAAGATTACTAGCCATTTCCAGAGAGCCAAGGTCACCCAGTGAAAGTTCTGCTCCACTAGAAAAACATCAGGAAAAGATTTCGTATTTAGGAACATTCTAACTTAAAATTGAGAAATAAGGAATCTCTCAGAGGCTGCCCATATAGGAAGGAAGGGGAGGCCTAGTATGGGTTGTAAGGTACAGTGAATCTGTCTGAGAAGGAGGAAGGGAGCCTGGGAAGCAGAGGCAGGGAGTTTAGCTTCAGGGCACCTGTGTGTAGGTTGAGGAAAATGTCTCAGGAGCACTTTGAGTCCACAATTAACTTTGGAAAAAAGGTTGCCAAAAGCTGAAATTATGATTGTTTGAAAAGCATGCACGAATCCAATACACAGGGCTGGAGAAAGTTGTACTGAATCTGAGATTCTTGACTTTTAGAGCTCGTACTTCACTGATGCCAGTGTATACCCAGAATCACTACTACCTGACTGTACAGTTTAAGGTGCATGCTTTTTTATACACATGCAGTTTCCAGAGTTAGACAATAATAGCTGTTAATACTTATTAATAAAGGTCTGTGTGCTTTGCAAAGGACTGAACAGATATTAGCCTCCTGTTAGGCTGGTCAATGGGAAAATCTCCTGTGGTCACCACAACAAAAGAAGAACTGTCAAGAACTTTCCTTTTGGCTGACGTATTTGGAATCAGCCACTGCCAGAGGCAGAGCAAAAATCCAGGCCATCTCTCCCATAAAATTGCCAGTTTTCAGTTTTCAAGAAATACATGCTGTGGGTCAAATGGGTGGACAGGGAAGAAGGACTGAAACTATTTAAGTAGTGTCAAGCTTTCTAGTTGTGACTGTGGATGTCAGTAATGTGTAAGCGTCTCTGACAAAGAAAGTTCTTTCCTGAAGGTTCACGTTTAGTTCTACAAACACAGTCTTCGGTAGAAGAGGAAAAAAAAGGAAACAAGACAAAAGCCCTTTGAGGGTCTGTGCAGTTCTGACCCAATCATAACAGTAAGAAAGACTGAAATATGTAGCAAGAATGCAAGCAGATACATACTTAGAATAAGTACAGAACCAGCATACCAGAGATGTAACTATCAGATCTAGTTTGCTGAATGTGCTATAAAGATGGCAGTGTAGGAATTCTTAATGCAATACATATGGGAAGCTGGAAAATGTACTGTACGGATGTGCAACATCAGATCGTGCTCTGGTTTGTACCAACAGATCAGTAGCCAGTCTTGGGTGGTTTGAGCTCTCTGGCTCCTGGAACTTGGCTATATTTATCCCAGCTGATGTAGCCTGTCAAGTGTGTCCTGCTGTTGATAAGGTGCCGTAGTTGACAACAGTAAGGGATCAAGGGGGAGGAGCAGGATGGGGGCTTCCACTGAGTGTTTCTTTAGGGGATCTCAAAAGCCCTGCCGTCTCATTCCCGTTTAGCTCGGACCCTGCTTTCTAGATTCGACTGGGAGCAAAGTGAAGATGCCAGAGCCTCTAAAGAAACCAGGTAAGGATCATAACTGACAGACAAAAGCCATGAACAGCTTGATGGAGAAAAATGTGAGTAGCTTTTGTATGCTAGATAAATGAGATGCCTCAGGAAAAAAAAATAGAGAGGAAAAAGAGGCGATATTTTATGAAATTATAAATATTTGAAATGTTGAGGAATCTTACAGAGAAATCAGTAACTAGTCTGGCAACCCTTGGCCACAGAATTTTCTCAAGAGACTTTGGACGAGGAGAGAATAGAGGCAAAACACATTTAATTCTCAGATTCTTTTCATTTCTCATTTCCTTTCCTAGTCACCTTTAGGACTCTGAAAAAAAGACTTGTCGTTTCTCTCTTGGGCTGTTAGACAGTACAAAACTCTCCTGGTTTGCTTTTTGGTTTTTTTTCTCTGATACTTTCAAGGAAGTGTACAAGGCAAACTTTGATGATATTTGTTGTTAGTGAAATCTTCATGAAAATGAAGCAAATGACAACTGGTTCAGAGCTTACACTTTCTAGTTTTACCAGTCAGTGACAGCAGAGCTCTACAAAAAAAAAAAAAAAAAAAAAATTCTTGTACTGTAAAGAATATACGTCTATTTCTTCTCACTCACCCTCTCCATCCCAAAAATTCTTGTACTGTAAAGAATATATGTCTATTTCTTCTCACTCACCCTCTCCATCCTTTCCCCTTGAACCAGAAGATCTTGCTGAATGTGCTATAAAGATGGCAGCGTAGGAATTCTTAATGCAGTACATATGGGAAGCTGGAAAATGTAGTGTACGGATGTGGAACATCAGATCATGCTCTGGTTTGTACCAACAGATCAGTAGCCAGTCTTGGGTGGTTTGAGCTCTCTGGCTCCTGGAACTTGGCTATATTTATCCCAGCTGATGTAGCCTGTCAAGTGTGTCCTGCTGTTGATAAGGTGCCGTAGTTGACAACAGTAAGGGATCAAGGGGGAGGAGCAGGATGAGGGCTTCCACTGAGTGTTTCTTTAGGGGATCTCAAAAGCCCTGCCGTCTCATTCCCGTTTAGCTCGGACTCTGCTTTCTAGATTCGACTGGGAGCAAAGTGAAGATGCCAGAGCCTCTAAAGAAACCAGGTAAGGATCATAACTGACAGACAAAACCCATGAACAGCTTGATGGAGAAAAATGTGAGTAGCTTTTGTATGCTAGATAAATGAGATGCCTCAGGAAAAAAAAATAGAGAGGAAAAAGAGGCGATATTTTATGAAATTATAAATATTTGAAATGTTGAGGAATCTTGCAGAGAAATCAGTAACTAGTCTGGCAACCCTTGGCCACAGAATTTTCTCAAGAGACTTTGGACGAGGAGAGAATAGAGGCAAAACACATTTAATTCTCAGATTCTTTTCATTTCTCATTTCCTTTCCTAGTCACCTTTAGGACTCTGAAAAAAAGACTTGTCGTTTCTCTCTTGGGCTGTTAGACAGTACAAAACTCTCCTGGTTTGCTTTTTGGTTTTTTTTCTCTGATACTTTCAAGGAAGTGTACAAGGCAAACTTTGATGATATTTGTTGTTAGTGAAATCTTCATGAAAATGAAGCAAATGACAACTGGTTCAGAGATTACACTTTCTAGTTTTACCAGTCAGTGACAGCAGAGCTCTACAAAAAAAAAAAAACAAAAATTCTTGTACTGTAAAGAATATATGTCTATTTCTTCTCACTCACCCTCTCCATCCTTTCCCCTTGAACCAGAAGATTACTAGCCATTTCCAGAGAGCCAAGGTCACCCAGTGAAAGTTCTGCTCCACTAGAAAAACATCAGGAAAAGATTTCGTATTTAGGAACATTCTAACTTAAAATTGAGAAATAAGGAATCCCTCAGAGGCTGCCCATATAGGAAAGAAGGGGAGGCCTAGTATGGGTTGTAAGGTACAGTGAATCTGTCTGAGAAGGAGGAAGGGAGCCTGGGAAGCAGAGGCAGGGAGTTTAGCTTCAGGGCATCTGTGTGTGGGTAAAGGAAGATGTCTCAGGAGCACTTTGAGTCCACAATTAACTTTGGAAAAAAGGTTGCCAAAAGCTGAAATTATGATTGTTTGAAAAGCATGCACGAATCCAATACACAGGGCTGGAGAAAGTTGTACTGAATCTGAGATTCTTGACTTTTAGAGCTCGTACTTCACTGATGCCAGTGTATACCCAGAATCACTACTACCTGACTGTACAGTTTAAGGTGCATGCTTTTTTATACACATGCAGTTTCCAGAGTTAGACAATAATAGCTGTTAATACTTATTAATAAAGGTCTGTGTGCTTTGCAAAGGACTGAACAGATATTAGCCTCCTGTTAGGCTGGTCAATGGGAAAATCTCCTGTGGTCACCACAACAAAAGAAGAACTGTCAAGAACTTTCCTTTTGGCTGACGTATTTGGAATCAGCCACTGCCAGAGGCAGAGCAAAAATCCAGGCCATCTCTCCCATAAAAAACTGCAAAGCACTAAAGCATGATTAAGTCCAATAAGATTCACATTTCCTCTGTACGATAACTCTAAAGCAACAGCGGTGTCACCAATCCTTCAATTTTCTCACAACTGTAAGATCATTTATGTTCTTAAAGCTGCAGTTTCTGAAATCAGATGAAAGTAGAATTATTTATAAAAAATGAGTATATGCTAGACTTTGTAATTGTAGAAAAAACCTTGTAAAAACAAGCTGGAAGAGTTCAGCAATCATCCCAAAAACAAGACATTCATAATCATATTCTTTTTCGAAAGTCACAAGATTTTTGAGATTTATTGAAATGTCTAATGCTTGTGATTGTCATTGCTGACAAAAAGAAATATGATGGAGTAGGCGAAAGTTGACAGAGTGATCACCTAGGCATTGTGATTTTTGATGTCTAATGGTTTAACTGCCTTTAAATTAACATTTTTCAGTCTCTGTAGATGAAAGGCAGCTTCTCTATTTATGAAAATGCCCACCTTTGCTAACTAATGTTGAAGAGAAATTCTATTTCAGCTTAGCTCTCCAGAGAGATCTAACAGGTGTATAACTTCACTAGTCCTACACAATTCTTATGAACAAACCAGCCCAAACATTGTGATTATCACAGCAGGGGGAGGAAAAGCTCCTATTACCCACTCTGACTGAGACAGAATCAGTCACATGCCCCATAGCTTCTGGAGAGGATCTTCTCATTTTCCCAAGAGGCATTAATCCTTTTGGTTTTCTATTTCATGTTGTTTATACAGTCAATCCATTTCAAGATGGGATAATGTTGAGCGCAATCTCAGAAGGGCTGAATTATCATCTAGCAATTCATACAAAGGAAAATGCTTCATGCCAGAGAATAATCAGATACTCTGCCGTTTTAACAAACCTTTTAACATGTTATAAAACAAACACAACAAACAAACCGAAACCCCACAAAACTTAAAGCAGTGAAGTAGATTTTCCAATAGATATTATTTTACTTTAAACTGTCCAACTAAAATATTTTGGGATAAGGCACTGCTCCGTGTATTTACAGAATACCAAAAGAACTGTCATAGCTTTCCAGAAAATCTATACGTTCCCAAGAGCAACAGGATTTGCAAGGCCTGTAGCAATTAAGTGTCAGAGCTAAGAATCAAACATTGGAAAAGCATTGCTTTTTGCAGGGTTCCGTTGCAGAAACTTTGTGGTGTTCTCCCTTTGATTTAAACATTTCATTGTTAATCTTTGGTCAAATGCTCACTTTTTGGAAAGTTTTGATTGCTCTTTTTGTTGTGAAAATTCAGAAAGTTTAAAAAAACTCCCCACCGTTTCCCTAACAATATTTTGTGACATTAAGAGGGAACAACTGACCTTTTAAACACCAAATTCAGTAGATAAATGGGACTTAATGGGAAACGTGTGCATTACTGTATCTGGAAAAGGAGAAGTCTGGCATTACTCAACTTCTCTGAAAATCAGTCAATTTTTCTTCATGTATTTTATAGATCGAGGAGTCTAGATATTGCAGTTCAGATGAGGAAATTTTATCAAGGGTTTATAAATAGCCTGGCTTGTAAGTACACAGAGGCTTTTGGAATTAATAATAATAATAATCAATGTTGTATAATGAAGAGTAGACTGTAGAATTTCAGTTTTGATATAAGCTCATCATTTTACATTTGCAAGCACCTAGCACAGTAAAGTACTGCCCCATGATAATGAACTTCTGCGCACTGCAATAATACAAAAATAAACAATAGTAATTCATATAGATATATTTTCCTTTTTTGTAATTTAAGATTCAAAGCAGGCTAAACACTATTATCCCCATTTTACAGAAAGTATGATGAATGCATAGAGAGAGAAGTGACTCTGATTAGTGAAACTATTCTTCGCCTCTTGCTCGTGTTACAGGAATTTACAATCTCAGCTGCTGAAGCAGGCAAGGAATGATAAGATTGAGTAGTTCAATAGCTTTTGGATCATGGAATGATTAAGCTTGTAATTGCAAGAAGCCACTTAGGTCTTGCCTGTGGAATGTGTAGCATCTTTATATAGTTCCTCAGCAAGGAATTTACAAGCTCCACTACTGAAGTCTGCTTATCCACAGTCTGGCTTTTAACTCAATGGAAGAGCAAATGGTATAAAAGGAAAGGCAGATGCCAAGTGTAAGTACTAAAGCAAAGATACATTCTCAACACGAAGCCTTAACACATGCAGGAATTCCAAAAGCTAATACTTCTTTTCTAATATTAATTTAATACACTGGCCAGATACATGTTTTAATACCAAATACACAGGATGTGCAGTAAGATAACTTCGCTTTGTGGAAGAAAACTTGTGACACTATTTTTTCTAATTAAACTCATCACAGATATCCACTGGAGTTTGTAGCATGTCCATTTAACCAGATACGTTCTCCTAAAACATTTATGCCTTTAACCGTTTTTATTTCAGAAAGGCAAAAATATCATTTGAAAGCCTTATCTAACACACATTCTCCTTCAGTGATGTCATGGTGCTGGGCCGGACTGGCCACTAAAACAGCTTATCTCCCTCTCCTCTGTGCACATATCAAAAGTAATGAATGATGAAGAGCTGAAGTCAAAGCTACCTCTCTGAAAAGCAGGATTAAATAAAAAAATAAAAATCAAACAAACCAAAATTAACAAAAAACCACCCCAAAACCCCAAACTAACACGAAAATGGCTCTCCTCTATCACTTTTATCTAGCTAAAATTAATCTTGTAGAATCCATGCTTCTTCCTCCTCACTTTGATTTCACGTACTTCATGCAAACTTTGAAATTCAGTGATTTTAGGAAAAGGTTTTCACCTAATGCTTGTGATTCTTAACAAGCCAAATTATTTAGAGAATGTAGCTAGGAATTTAAATTATTCCAGTTATTTAAACATTTTTTTAATATACATCTCAACTCCATTTGTTTCCCTGACAATAATCAAATAGAAATGTCTCTTCTAGCTTCTAATCCTAACTTTTTTTCTTAATAGGGATAAAACAGTACTTAGTAGCTACTTATTAACACTTTAAAGCAACACAAATAAAACAGAAAAACAGTCTGCCACAAAACACTTACAAAATAAAAGCCCAGTAAATAGACAGTTCAACAAGAGAGCAAAGGAAATGATGATTAGTACAATAGGGAGCGACCTGGGTAGCAGCGTAGCCATTTTCTAGGTTTTTGCATAGGAGAGCGTGAAAAAATTTGAAGTAGAATAGTAAACTAGGTTGATGGTGGATGTTAGAAGGAGATTGCTTCAAAGAAGGTCAGAAAGTAAGGGAGAAAGCATGAAGATGCTCATATGAAGGTTTAATAAATAGCAGCAGTAGGAAAGCGAAACACTAGTTTTATGATTTTATTTAGGTGAAAAGCAAAGGAAATTGGGTTAGAACGTAAATTATTTCATTCTGGTTTAATTTGGCAAATGTATTTTATATTTCTTCAGCTTCCTGATTGAAAGACTTGTTAATAAATTATTATCAAAATGCAATCTGACCTCCAAATAGAGCTTTTTATTACTAATGAATGAAGCTGTAGTTCGGGTAACATACATAACTGCATGGCCTATGTGCTTATCTTCAGGTGTTAAAAAGACTTTTAAAGGATGGGTGCTGCATGCAAGTCCTGGTAGCAACAGCATTAGCCACCAAAAAGCTTTCTGCATCACTATTGCAGACCACACACAGCCTGCTTCCTGTCTGCCTGGGGTAGAAATGTGCTGGTTTACATTACTCAGAAGTCACATTAAGTTCTTTGCATTATGGAAGTTAGAAGTGATTAGGAAGGTCTGTGATATGAGAAGTGAAGTGCTGAAAAATGGGTTAGTACAAAGGGGCTCTAGCCTTGTTTTCTTGTATTAGCTCTACATCTCTCTTCTCCCCCCATGGCAATTCCAGTTCCATCCCCACAAAACAAACACACAGAGAGCACCTATTGCTCTCCTTCCCTTCAATAATTCCTGTCACCATCACCACTGGTAACCCAACGTACTAATGCCACCTTTCTCTCCCTTTGTGCAGGGTGGGTTAGAATTTACTGGGAGGCAGAGAGTGAACAAAGTGGGAGGCAGAGGACGTGGGCTACTTGGTCATCAGGTGCCCCAGCCCAATGGCTCCTAAGCGCATGTTCAACTGGAGTCTGGATAAACGTGATAGTGCCTGAGATCTGTCAATGCCTGACAAGCACAAGACCTGTGAGTCACTGGGTTTTCCACACCCTGATGGTGGTGGTGGTCGTACCCAAGAGTGTTTTGAGTATGGGATGGAAATGTGGAACTCGGAGGGGCATACCTGGGTATGAGCCAAATGTTGAAGTGAGAGAGATTGCCAAATGGGGAACGTGTTTCTGAGAAAGCAGGGAATAGCTAGGTAAGCCAAATGTTGAAGTGAGAGATTGCCAAATGGGGAATGTGTTTCTGAGAAAGCAGGGAATAGCTAGGTTCTCAGGATAGACAAGAACTTTTGGATGGCGGTGTTTAGGAACATTCCTAATGAGGAAATAGTTGGATTAAATCAGTATAACTGCATGAGAAAAAAAAAATCTGCTGGTGAACGTGGATTTACATGTTATTTAAAGTGGCAGCCACAATGATAGAGACCCGGAATAGCTGATGTGTCACTTCTTTCTGTTAAGCAGCCCATTTTTCCTCCAGAATGAACAAATGATGGCATTCTCTTCACGTGCTTTTTCAGCAACCTCACTTCTGCAACAAAGTAATTTCCTGTAAAATCTCCAGGTGTACATCACTACTTTTCCTTTGCAAATATGAACAGTGAAAGATGAAAGGGAATACAGATGCATACAGAGAGAAACTACTGTGGACACAGTCACCCACTGACTCTGAATCTCAAGTGCAGGAAAATGACTCTTAGAGCCTTCTTTACCTGTGAAAATGTGGGTTCTCAACAACTGTTCCTGCAGGCCTTTACCCACATGAGAGATTTTTGGCTTTTCCAATTTTATGCTTTGGTGATTCATAATCACTTGAATCAGAATTTAAATGAGTCTTTTGGCAGGAAAGGGAGAGAGGGGGGGAAAAAAAAAAAAAAGACAAGGACACTTACTTGTAAACTTCTACATATGTATTTAGATTTCCCAAAAGTCAGAAATATTATGTGGTGGTGATTTCTCACTGTGCAAGTGGTTCTGGCCAACAATCTGTTTTTGTTGAGTCATCTAAAGTAAATGTAAGAAACTTAATCACTTTGCAGGGCGTGCAGCAGATCAGAGAGTTACTTCCAAGTATGCGTGTCTTGAAACCCTGCCATTTGTAGGCTGGAACCTTTACAGGCCACATTGCTGTTAAGTAATTAGTATATTTATAGATTCTTTTGTGCTTAAATAGAAGAGTGATGATGATAGCACTCAGAGACAAAAAACATGCCTCTTTGCTGCTTTATCTATAGCGTCATAGGGAAAGGAGCCAGCTAGTAGGTATTTCAGGAGTGGGTTCCACAGTTCCCCGCTGTGTGGTAACGCGGACACTCTTACATGTCTTTTGAATTCTGTACATCAAACCTGATGTCTACAACAACTCTTCTGCGATTATTCATGATACACTGCATCAAAGTATACCCTACATCAAAGTATTCCCTGCTGTGTTATGTACTGAAGTACAATACTATATCAAAAGATGTGCATGTGTATATTACGCTCTAGTATAGAGCTCTATATTCTATGCAGTACTATATTCTGTTTAAGAACGACTACGCCACTTACAGGCCTGAGGATAGAGAGAACTCAAATAAAAGCTTGCAGGGACATTCCACTCCCAGAAGAAATTTTGCACACTTACATCTTAACACAGAAAAAAAGCAAGCAGAAGGATACAACAGGAGCTCAGTTAAAGCTACTATAGGCTCAGTGCAAACCAAAATGGTTTTTTCATCAAATATGTAAACTGTAGGGAAAAAAGAACGAGAAAAATGGAATATAGGGATTTTATAAAAGAGACAAAATATAATACATACTAAAATCTAGAAGTATTTGTAATTGATACTTTAATTGATGATTAAGCAGCTTTCAGTCCTTTGCAAACCAATGGAAGAAATGTGAATTGTGTTATCACTGAAGTGCAAAGGCCATCAAATGAGATCCCTGCAGATGTAGCTCCACTGAGGTCAATTAACTTACGCAGCCTGACGACACGCTACAGGAATAGGGATTTTGTGCAATGAGCAGATGGTCATTACCAGCAATGTACCATTTATACTAACTAAAGCACCTGTTTGAACATGAGTGTAAATTATTTCTTTTAAATATGTCCATGTCATGTTCCTTTCATTTTTATAAAGCAGAATCAGAAGTTTAAGTTAATTATAACCATTCTTGTGGTGTTTGGAAGAGTTCTGGTTGCTGCCCAAGTAAACAAGCCATAGACAATATGCCACAGAGGTGACATATAATTAAATGTGATGGAATTACTAACATTTTATAAAAGTGTAGTTATGAAGAGGTAAGTCAATAACAGCATGACATAATAATATATAAATAACATTCAGTGTGTGAATCAGAATATTAATTACTGGTATTTTAATACATGAACATAGCTCATGGTAATTAGCAAAATAACACATTTCATTAAGACCAAAATATGAGCATAAAATGAAAAAAATGATTCAAAATAAAGTTGAAGAAATCTAAATAAATAAATCAGGGAGAGAAATTATTAAATAAGTTACCTTATTAAAATCTAATCCTGAGAAAGATTAGGATACTCATGGACCAAAACCACAACACATTGCTTGCTTTCCAAACTCCTCTCTCTTGTGCTATTCTGATTACATAGGAACTAAAATGTCATTTGGTTTGTGGTTGTTCACCCCATATATTAATAATTTCATTAGTTCTCATTATAAGCATCATAAGTGCTTCTTGACGTATAGAGGAAATATTTTGACCCACCTTCTAATTAATTAGAAAACAAGCTGTTGTAGAGTGCTACAAAGGCAAGTACTTTTAACACTGAACTAAACATTTGAATGGAAACAACAACTGATATTATGTTAACTCGGATAAAATTACAAGGGCCATCATAGGAACATGCAGCCCTTTCCACTAAAGCCTTGATCAGTCAAAACAGAAGGACTAAAGATGAACCATTAATTCATTGTGGTATATTAGGACACAGATCCTTAACAACTGCATTAAGCAACTGTGAGGACAGAATTAATATTTCTAAATAAAACTGCATGGCAAATTAATGTAGAGAGCTTGATATGTAAGAATACGTATCAGGCTATCTTGTCATAAATCAGAACAGTCACTTATGAGAAATCAGAGCTTGTTATGGGGGAAAGAACAAAGAAGATGGACAGTGAGATGAGTTTCCTATTCTTTCCATTTTATTGTATGACAATATGGAGAAGGTGTGACATCTCAGTCAGAGACAGAACTTAATTATTAAGACAAAGACAATTCAACTTCTCTGTGGAAAGTGTTGTAATTTATATCTTGCCTGGGCAGAGTGGAGAGAAAGGAGACAGCTGCTGCAGCCACAACAGCTGACTACACCAGATATGCCACAACTGCAAAACAGATTTTAGTAAGCCCTCTCTCTTTTTTTAGTTTCTGCATTTACCAAGAAGCCGAAGACAACAGAGGTGACAGCCGGAAGCACAGCTGTGTTTGAAGCAGAGACAGAAAAAGCTGGCGTCAAGGTGAAGTGGCAGCGAGCTGGCACAGAAATTACAGACAGTGAGAAATATGTCATCAAGGCAGAAGGAAACAAGCATTCACTGACAATCAATAACGTAGGAAAAGAAGATGATGTGACATATGCTGTAATAGCTGGAACTTCCAAGGTGAAGTTTGAACTCAAGGTCAAAGAACCAGGTAAAGTGTTCCCTAAGCAATTCTAATTTTATCAGTATTTCTAGTCCCACATGCAAACTTCATGAATGAGGTCCATGGAAATTAGCCAAACTAATACTGTAGAACTTCTCTACAAGCGATACATCTGTTTTGCCCAGTTATTTGAAGCTACTCACTAATATTAAGCTGAGGACTACATTTCCTCTGGCTGAGACACGCATTTCCAGATGCCAGGAGTCCACACAGCAGAAATCACAGAGGGAATCTCAACGCACAACTTTAGAATTCTCTGTCAAGCTTTTCCACTTAACTATTGAAAAGCAAAGCAAAGCTAGACTAACCTAAACTGACCAAAACTAAGAGGACTGCATCTAGGCCTGGTATTTACTTTTTTTTTTTTCATTATTTTGTTTAAATAAAAAATTGTAACAATTGACAAAAAATTTACAAGTTATGCTGTAATGTTTTTAGGAGTTTTTATGTTCCCAAAAACCATCTCAAAATCACCAGCTAATAAAAATACATATTTCAAGACAGACTTGAATACAAAGAGTAACCTTTGTATTATTTGTATATCACCTATCATTACTACCTCTGTATGCATTAAAGGATCCATTAGATGGGAAAGTGAAAAACTTCCCCAGGCTTTTCCTGGGAAAAACTATAAAGAGTTTATAAATTCTCTGGAATTTTCTCATGAAAAAGCGTCTGAAGATGCTGAAGATAGATGAAATAACTCATTCTTTGAAACATTTTGATTTTCCTGATTCCTTTCTCCCCCTGGCACCCCTTGCCCCTCCAAAATTGTCCCCATTTACCACTTGTGGTAAATTTAGTTTTCCCTTTTTATTTCAGTGAAAAGCCTTAGATTGTGACCTCCTCTCCTTTGTACCACTGTTTACTCTAGCAATATGTTGGTAGTGAGATCTTCCGGTCACCTGAAAAGATACTGCTGAATATTTAACAAGAGACAAGACACCCTGTTCCAAATGAAAAGAAAGTACATGACAGGTTATCAGGTAATCCTGGTATGGATTAGGACAGTTTAACAGCTCTCAGAGCATATAAAAGTATCATCCTACTGACTACTTCATCCTGAAAGGAAACAAGTACATATTTTACTAATTGTATCTCCTCGTTGTCTTTCAGGTTAGTTGCAGGTAGAGCCTGCTACAGGCAGACAGCCTACAAATAACAGAATTGCTGAACGTGGAAGTGTAACCATTACCTAAATGAAACACATCTCTGACAAGCACACATTGGGGATGAGGTATTAGGGTGCCAAAGGAGAGACGATTTTCCTGTTTGCATTATATATTGATGCCTCAAAATAAGACTTTTCTATACAGCTACACATCCAAGATATGGAGTATATATACTACATCAGTTAGAATAACTTTCCAGTAAAAAAAAAGTTTTTTACTTTCCAGTAAAAATTGAAATTTATAATTCAATAACAATAACAAAAACAATAATATATTGACAAGATCCAGTGGGATACCTTCTAACAATAAAAGTGGTAGGACTTGATATCTAAGTATTAAAATAACATCCATTTAAAATCACAGTTTTCTTTCAAGACCCAAATGCAGTTTAGAGTAAAAGGCATAAAGTTTCTGAGAGCAGAGTTGACTCATGTTCATATGCTCACAGACACTGTCTTGTTTTTCAGACCTCACTAAGATTAGGTTGTTGAAGAGTAACTGGATTACCCATTATTATTTTCACAAACAATAATAATTTCAGCTCTTCATTATAAAAAAATTTGCAAACTGCTCCTTAACCTGCCCAGATACAGCCACCTCCCTTTGTGACAGAGGAGCCACTCAAATTAAGTCATCACACAGCACAACAGGGCCAGAAATGCCTGGTGGAAAAAACATGTGGGACTTGTGTGAGAGGTAGGCGAAGCCCTTTGGAAGTGACTCCACTACCTATGGAAAAAAAATAATCTTGCTGCAACTGATCTGTTTCAAGAAATTCTACCTCCCTCCATCCGCCCCAGTTGCTCACTCCTACTCCCTTTTCATTCATTTCTCTCTCCATTGTGCCAAATGCATTTCCCTAAATTTGTCTGTGAGGTCACGGTTTAATTGAGAGGCCATAAATTTCCATGAGCCAGGGGAAGAAATCATAGACAGATTTTTAAAATACTTTCTCCATATTGATTACTAGCTGTGTCTAGAACTGTTCCCAAGCCACACTCAGCAATAGCATTTGGAATGCTGCATTCCAACAGCAGAGTTAAACAAAATCTCACAAAGGAGCAAATTGTTTACAAAAATAATAACTGCATCATTTTTAATTACCTTTTCTATTTAGACTACTGAAATTAATATCAAATAATAGTGTTACTCATCAGCTGGCAAGTTCCTACACATCAAAACTACAGCATTTTAAAATCCAGGCTTCAGTTCTTTTCAAGCTCAGCAAAAGGACAAGCCTCATCACCCAGCTACAGTAGACCCCTTCTCCATCCAGCACATCCTCCAAGTTCTAGAAAACCACAGCTAATTTCTTTGCATTTCCTAACATACATTAAAAGCTGTTCTGTTGCAAAACTTCTTCAGAAAGGAAGTAGAAACATGACTTTCTCTAATCATTCATTTCCAGAAAAGAGTGAGACAGTCACTCCTGCTGAAGCTGCGCCAGCCCCAGCTGTCCCAGAGCCGCCTGCTCCACCAGTAGAAAGCTCCCAAAAGACAGAAGGTAATAGAGAAGTAACACCATTATCAAGTCTGGTTCGTTAACAGAAGGGAAGAACAGGGAATCCTTAGAGTCAGGGAGGTAGAGACAGTAGCTGAAAGGAGACCACTAGTGATGAATGAAAGACAATAAAGAATAAGGACTCTCAGAGACAGAAGAAAGTAATTTCAAAATATCTCAATATATTAACAAATTCATTATATAGGCTGTAACAGAAGCTGATGCAGAAAGTTCTAAGTAGTAATTCTGAGATCTATTTCAGCTGCACCTTCTGGCACTCAACCAGAAGAGCCTGTGGACCCTATTGGGCTCTTTCTGCTACGACCCCAGGACGGAGAAGTTACTGTTGGTGAGTAAAAACACATTAGTCAAGTGATGTTTGTAAACTGTACCTGTTGCTTGACTATTTAGCCCTCCATGTATAGGAGACATCAGCGACACAACAGATAAATTAAACACTATTCATAATCTTATTTTATCCTATGACACAACAGATAAACACTATTCATAATCTTATTTTATCCTACTTCCCTTACAAGGTGGAAACATCACATTCACTGCCAAAGTAGCAGGTGAGAGCCTGCTGAAGAAACCATCAGTGAAATGGTTCAAAGGAAAGTGGATGGACTTGGGAAGCAAAGTGGGGCAACACCTCCAGCTACATGACAGTTATGATCGAAATAACAAGGTATGATTGGCAGAGTAAGGTTCTCAGTCTTCTGGATACTAATCTGTAATCTGGGGAAAATATAAACTAATATAGGAATGTTTTGATATTAAGGTACCCGAAGGCACACACAATGTTATACTTAATGCACAGAAGTCTGTGTTTTGACCATGCAGACAAGAGACAAGCACTACATAGAGACTCACACACAATGTTATACTTATGCACAGAAGTCTGTGTTTTGACCATGCAGACAAGAGACAAGCACTACATAGAGACTCTTGCGTACCTTATCTCTGATGAAGTGAGAAAATGTCTGGAGGACCAGGGGAGCAGTTTTGCACTATCTACTGCAGGATTCCCTCCATCTTCCTCTCAAGTAACAGATACTTCTTATATTTATAAGACAAACAATAAATCAGACAGATATTTAAGTATGGTCTATCTTAGTTTTAATAGCTCAAGCATTCAACTATTAGTGTTGGAATTTATTGTTCTTTTGCATCGTCTAGATTAAATAGCTGAGGATGATTTATTTCTACCACCAATGCATTGAAAGATCCATAAACAGGAACACAAGGGAGCTTGCACTATGACTGCTCGTCCTGTGTGCTATATGAAACGCTATCACCCTCTCCTGGATGGAACAGAACAAACCTGCTCACATTAGCTACTCCTCCTGAACTTTCAAATGTACTGTCTGCATCCTAGGTAGAGGCTGTACTTGTTTAGTGAACACTCTATTCCCGTTTCCAATGTACACGCAATTAGTGTAATGTGATGACTGCACACACCAGCACACAGCATAGTTTGCTAATATAACATTATATCCTTTGGAAGGCCTGTACTGATATTACTCTTTAGCTGTTCCTACTGAATTGGGGAAGCTATATGTATGTTTTTTATGACAGCAATGATTTACACGCTCAGGAGGTTCTTAATTCTAAAAGGACACAGAGGTATATTTCATCCCTTGCATATTTCTCTCCATGCCTTAATATGCTGGATTCTCTCTCTGTTTTACCATTTCATTTTCTAACTTATGAATTGTATCATTGGTGTCTTTTCTAGGTGTATACCTTTGAAATGGAAATCATAGAAGCAAATATGACTTTTGCAGGAGGGTACAGATGTGAGGTGGCTACCAAGGACAAATTTGATAGTTCTAATTTCAACCTGACAGTCAATGGTAAGATGAATTCCTGCCATCATCTTTGTTACTGTTTACTTTTTTTTTCCCCCCTGTATGTCCTCCAACAATTCCTTCTGGTACATAATGGCAACTGGACAAGGACAGGTCCAGGCACAGCTACAGAGGCCCACAAGTGAGGATTGGGATGGGTTGGCAGAGATACGCAGCAATAGAAGTAGCACTTGGATTTCACTCAAATCAGAATTGTGGTGCTCTTAAAGAAAGCACACAGAAAGATGCAAATCAACTCAACTTTTCTCTGGCTTGATTCTGATTTCAGATCCATTCTTTCATGATATTTAATTCCACTAGAATAAAAGAGTGGCAAAGTTCAGGCAAAAGGCAAAAGCTCAGTACTAAAAATGGATACTTGAAAAGAAGGGGAGAAATGGAAAGATTTAGACAAGTGACACTATTATCAATTCCTTTCTTACCAATAAATTCAAGTCATGCAGAAGCAACTTGTGATATAAAATTGCTTTAAGATAACCACTTTCCATAATACATGGTGCCACCCTCACAACTGCTATACAAAAGGCTTATCAGCAACTGAAAAAGAAGTACATCTTAACATCAACTCTCCCTAGTGTGGAAGAGTCTAGATAAAACAGTATAAACACGGACCACCTGAAAGGGTTGAATGTTTGGACCATTTCCTCTTTCAGTGGTTCTATTGAAGGGAATGCATCGTTAATTTGTGTCCAGCAATCAATGAGCCTAATATGCAAAGACAAGTTTATTGAAGAAACCCAATTAGCAGTGTCCATTTTTGAAGTTTCACTAGTTTGCTCTAGGACTCGTAAGATTTAGGAGCTGTGTCTTTGTGAGACACACAAAGTGTGTGAGAGAAGTATTTCTCCCAATAGCAGCAGCACACCTATTCATACCAACAGAAGCTTAGAACAGAGTTCTCTCTATGCAACATCCTCAATGGAGTTTCTGTACATCTCTACGTAGTTCCAGGAATTTACCTTTGCTTTCAGAAGATGGATCACAGAATCCCAAAATGATATGGGGTTGGAAGGGACCTCTGATGATCATCTAGACCAACCCCCTCCCAAAGCAGATCCACCCAGAGCAGGTTGCACAGGAACGTGTCCAGGCAGGTTTGGAATATCTCCAGATGGAGATTCCACCACCTCTCTGGGCAGCCTCTGCCAGGGCTCTGCCACCCTCACAGCAAAGAAGTTCCTCCTCATGTTTAGGTGTAACTTCTTATGTTCAAGATTGTGCCCATTTCCTCTTGTCCTTACATCTTAGTAGTAGTAATAATTAAGTGATAATTAAGTAATAATTGGGTATCAATTAAGTTACACATGAAACACTGGATGTTGAAAAGTAATTAGTGAAGGCGACATGTTTAAAGATGATGCTTCCATCTTTTCATATTTAAGTGATCACCATTTTCAATATAAGAACTTTAGAAAAAAAAGTCTATAAAGAAGAAGCTTTAGAAATGGCACTGTGTTTGTGCATTATTTTGACTTGCTCTCCCATTCTTGCTTGTCACTTTTTGTCACATCAGAAGCACCAATACCTGGAGACTTGGACATTCGTGCTGCCTTCCGACGCACGTGAGTATGTACAGTAGAAACTTAGGATGATCAGAGTATACTTCCACATGGAATTGATTACTTTTCTAGAAACTAACTAAAAGCAGAGTTGTTGTATAAACAAGCACAAAGATAGGGATGTCTACTAAGAAAATATTTCTATTAAGAAAATATTTCTACTGTTAAAATACTATACAAGTCCTGGAAATCATTTAAGAGAATTTAGACTATGTAGTAGCATAACAATCATGCTTATCTGCCATTATGCAATTGATAACATGTATAATTCTACAAACAACTTCAGCACTTTTTTTCCAGACCTGTAAAAAGCACCCCAGATGTAGAACAATAGAGAAGGAAAAGAATCTGTGTAGTGCCTAGTCTTGATTTGGTCTGGCTTGAGGAACTACCTCACGTATTTGACGTGAGCTCTGTAAACACATATCACTGATAACATTAATACAAGCATTTTGATTGTATTTGTCTTCATGTTCTGTAATTACATTAATTGAAGGAAGACAATGATACTGCAAGTGTCTGTGTAGATCAGATCTATGTAGATCTTAGATATTAAAGCCTGCAGGGTATTGCACTAGTGTTGAAAAGGCTATTCTCCTCACATCTGTAATATAGTCTAAATTGATATATGACTTAATGGAATAATGTTCCCTCCTATTAGTAAAATTTGAAAAATTGGTTTTTTTGTTTAGACATTAACACGTTTTTTCTCTGTTGAGTATTCTCCCTTTGCGTTATTCAGTTTCTGTTTCAGTTTTTATATATTTTTGCAAAGTTAACAGACCAAGAATATTCCAACAGACATCTATTTCTCTAACATAGGACACAAATCGTCTGTGGCAATTCCTTGAGTTTTCCACTAAAAGTGCTATTTTTATATGAGGTATTTTTTATTTAACATTCTATCAGGAAGAACTAAAAAGGCTCGCAGAATTTATCTACAGTCAAATCCACCTATAGGTAGCTGACCAGCCTCACTGTGATGCCTATTAAATAGAGGACACCCAGTACATAGCTGCATTGTGTTATTTCACTGCAGTGAAATTAAGCTTCAAGAGTTTCTCTTCTGGCTAACACAATTAAAAGATTTTAGAATCAGTTCAGAGTGAGCACAGTGTGAGCAGCTTCAGGCTGTTCAGATTTTCAGTTTCTTCTGTAAGAATGGAGCCAAATTTTGAACTGAACTGTTTAAATCTGAAGCTTTGTCTTTGATACCCTCCCTCAGGAGCCTGGCAGGAGGGGGGAGACGGATGACTTCAGCCTTTCTCAGGTAGCCACTGTCTGTGTCGGCAGACGAATTCAAGTCTAACAATGAACTGTCTCTCTCTGCTTAGGAAAAGGGGGGAAAAAAATAAACCCAACACAAATCACAGAACTAGCTGTAGTTTAAATTCCAAATAAGTCATTGCTTATAGTATGTAGTATTATATGAGTCAAATGACATACAAGGAAGTAATATTATGAGTATAAATAATGAAAAGAGTAGTTTGATAGTTCAGTGAGAGGCAGATTCATCCTCGGAAAAGGCACGTGTTTGGCAAGTGGCATCTTCTCACCACTGTCAGAAGAAAAATGTAACTTCAAACTATATGCATGTCTGCCCCCTCTGTTTTACAAGTTTTTCTCTCTACTGAGCACATGCTGACTAAAATTGCCACTGCTCACAGAAACCTACCAACACACATGTATATGAAAATCTGTTGTTTCCTTTCCTTTCCTTCCTCTTTATCCTGGTATCATTACATTTCTCACTCCATCCCTTTTGGTCCCGATTGTCTTCTACCAGAATGAAAATAAGAACTCTGAGATTAGATTTAACTCTATGCATGTTAAAGCAATTATTAGGGTCTCATCCTTCAGAAAAGCTAATCATCGATTGCTGGGCTTTCCGGAAAAGCTGATTTAAGTACCACCTGGGAAGCAGTAAGGTGACTAGTTATTGTCCCAGCTGTAGATTCTGATTTCCTGAATATTTGATCACAAGCAGCCCTCCTCAAATTTGGGATTATACTAGTGATTTTTATATACATTTTTACACCTGCAAACACTGAAAATCTGCTGAAAGTTAGGAAAAAAAGTGGTGAAAAATACACTTTTATGTTTGAGCATTATCGCCAGAAAATTATCTTTTCCAGTACTGTACTATCTTGAAAGTAATCACAGAAACAAAAATGGTACTTTCTTAATAAAAAGATCTCTTCCAACAACATATTCAAAATTACACTGATTCAAAATCGTTACTTATTCTCACTAACCTTGCATTGTCAAGCAGCACAAGTTTGGTACTCATTTCTTTTCCATTTTATTAACAGTACTGTTAAAATGTCCATCATTTTTCTGTTGAGGCTGTTTTCTTACTTTTTAAAATATTTGTTCCTACAATATTGAGTCTGACTTTTACACTTCTACAGACAGACTGATTTTCTCTGAAGCAACTAGCACTGTGTATTGTCAGAGACAGCATTATGGGCTACCACTACCACCAGTAAAACTGAAAAGAATTTCTGTGTATAAAACAATAATTAAATATGAGGTGTTACTGCTGGAAGAACCTGAATGGCATCACCTTATACTCAAGACAAAGGAGATGTCAAGGAGCAGCTGAACATTGATGATGGGAGACTGAGATGAAAAAAATGCATTTTGACTTCCTAAACCCAGTCTGAATGCAAAAAAGACCTTTTTCTTTGCTAGGTTGAATAATCAGTAGTCATGAAATCCAGCGTAACTCCCAATACTTTTACACAAAATCCCTAAAGTGATTTTTTTTTTTAATTAAAGCCAAAGAAGTGACTTTACACTATGTTTTCAGAGTAGATCTGTACTTCAAATGTTCAGAAGCACAGCTAAACCGCATTTGATTCAGAACACCAAAAATAACATTGTGCATTCCATCTGAGTTCACCACATATAACAGAAGGAATTACACATCAAAAAACTCCTGCTTGTTGCTTCTTGCCCTCACAAATCATCACCATGTTGCTTGCCATGACGCTTGCTGAACAACTGTATGTTGAACCTCATCCCAGAAGCAAAGTCAGATCAAGAATTCCTCCTTTAGCTCTCTCAAGCACCAATGATGTGACACTTTTTTCAGTATAACGAGTGTGGAATCACAAAGAGCCTTAAGAGACAATTACAGCTGGGATAATACTAGAAAAAAAAAAGTCCCACAAGGTTGGTTAAATACTGCCCCACACTGTTAATTTCCATATTACTGAAACAATGGCTTTCCAAAAGTACTAATGATTCTAAAGGAAAGCTTCTGCAACATCTTTATGTTAATTAATACATTCCAGATCAATATGACCACCAAGTTAATACCCTATACAACTTCATCCATAATCAGTTCCAGAAAAAATGTAAGTCCGTTAAATATATTTGTTAAACCCATATGAAGACAACTATGGACAAAGAACCTAATTACGTCACCATCCATGTCAGCGCACATTCTAAATCATTCTAAACCCATCTACTACTCCCCTATATAAAATATAATCTACATAATGATATAGTCTCACAAGCTATTCCCACTTCCTTCTGAAACTAATTATAGTTTTCTGTTATTATACAGTACCGAGGGACATGAAGAAGGTGGAGAGTTTAATTTTAGTTCCTTACTGAAAAAGAGGTGAGTAAAAATCCACAGTTTTACAGAAATAAAGTAACCAGCTTCTGTTGAACAACTCAGAAAACACTAAAACTAGAGTAAGTCAAAGTTTCATAAATTCAGAATCCTTGTAGTTTTCCTAAAGCAGCTCTAACTGGAAAAAGAATGAGAGGTAATTATGGCAACTTCCTCAAATACTCAGCATTTGCTGCATTTTTGCAAGGTTTATAATGGAGAAAAAAAAAAAAAAAAGAAGAAAATAGAAAATTATCTTTCCCAAGATAGAAAAGGCTAGGACTATGGTAATTATGTGCTTCCACCAGCACTTTTCTTTAAAAAAAACAAACCTCAAACCAGAATAATTTACAATACCTGTCTATAATGCTGTCTTATTAAGAATTTTCTGTCCTAAGTTTCCACAATACTTTGCATCAGAGAGCTGGGAGGACAAGTCTTTTTATTAGATATCTAAACGTTACTACTACACTATACAATTTTATATTATGTATTATATAGCTGTTTATCATATATATAAAAAGATAGTCTATGTTGCATAAATATTATATACTTTTTTTTTTTTAATTTTCCGATTCTAACTTGCTTTTACTCTCATGTTTTGCGTGGAATTTCATCTCCCATTCTCATATAAATATTATATACTTTTTTTTTAAATCTTCCGATTCTAACTTGCTTTTACTCCCACGTTTTGCGTGGAATTTCATCTCCCATTCTCATCATTCCTTGCCACATCTGTTTTCATAACCTGTCTACTTAATGTTTTTCTCCTTTTACCACCATCTAAATCTGGATGTTTTGGATTCCACTGTTGCCAACAGAGAGTAAGATTTCTATTTAATTTTATTACAAATGCATGGGTCAGACTGGATAGAATAACCATTTGGTTTGAAATAATGCACGCAACTTCATCTTTCTTACATGTAGAGCATGGCAAAAATTAAATAGTATGAAAGAAAATTATCAGCCACCATTTTCTGAGACAGAAATGCTTTTAGGCAATTAGAAGTTAAAGATGGACCATTCAATACAAATCACTGCATTCCTCTGAACGTCCTTTGTTTTCCACCATCACTTTCTTTTATAATATTTTATAAATTGTCCTTGAATTTCCCAATTTTCTCAATAACCCACTGCTATCAATTCCTATTTGTCATAGAAATTAAAATCAGAAAAACCCCTTGCATAATATGCCTGCTGGTGCCTGTCAAATTTTGTTCTAACCATCCTTAAACATGTTAAGTAAACATATTACTGAAGTCACTTATTCCATAAATGTACAGGCTTCTCTGTTACAAAACGTTTCTTTATGTTACAAGTGAAGTTTCCATTGCTCATTATGATCCCATTACTCCAAGCATGATCCTTTCTGTTTATTGCACCTGGCTGCTCACTCTGTCTTTCCAGCTCCTGAAGTTACTATAAACGCTTGTCACTTGACTGATGTTTTGCAAATCTAAACTTACTCAGTTTAAGTTTTCACCATCAACTGCTTGGATGAATGTTGGTGTGAATCTGTGTTCAGCTTCTGCTCAGGTATTGGTATTGCTAGTTATAAAAAGTGTTTTATCTCCACAAAGACTACAGGACTGTGTAGACATCTGAATTAGCTTGGTTACAGAAGGTAATAAAGCCACAATCGCCTCATGTTTCACTCAGGTTAACTCACCCACTTTCCAGGGGGGCAAACAAGGTAAAGTAAGCCCTGTATTATGCTATATGCAATGTATCCCACTAGAAGTAAATTCTTGCTTTGCAGTAACACTACATCCAGATTTATTTTTTTTAAATTCTAAAGTAGGGAAAATATGCTTTCTGAATAATGGCAGTAATCAAAACTGTACAGGTTTGAGAGCTCAAATAGAGGAGTTGTACACACATTCTAATTTCTATGAAAATGTAAGGCAAAAAAGAATGACCTCTTTTTAAAAATTTTAAATAAATGGAGGCCAGCATGAAAATATTTGCATAATTTTGCACAGTGACTCCAGCTGGAATGAAGTGCCCCTCTCCTCGTGCCTTTCCCTTCTGCCTTTGTAATTACTTTCAAGCAGTGACAGAACTCTAACTAGTAGTAAAAATCTCCAGTATTTCCAGAAATGTTCAATTTGTGGACTTAACTATTCATTATTTGTTAGACTAAAGATATAATTCATTAAATGAATAATACATATTTCACTGTACTTTATCAGAGTTTTTGACCTTTCTTGACTTACAAATCTCTGTTTAGCGAATTTAAGCATACTGATTAAGTCACTGCTCCTAATTGTTTTCTGAAGTCATTTTAGAATTTGTGGACATTCAGGTTTTACACACCACAGGTTGAAGACCACTCCTATATTAATGGGAATGGATAGGCATTAAAAAAACTCGAAGTGGAATGAAAGTATTCTTCATTAAAATAGAATAGAAAAAGAGACCTCATGCTAAGGAACTCTCAAGAGCTTTGTGGATTCAAATAGAATTGAAGATTATTCTTTTACCACTGCTGCTTTGTCCCACCTAATGTACAACTGCTCCTCAATCCAGAGGTAATGAACATTCCCACTATAATAAAAAGAGCTTCATTTAATACTGTATCTCCTATTGCTGTAATTTAATTAACTGGTGTTGACATACAGATGTCATGGGCCAAGGAGAGGTCACTAGGAAGAGGAAGGGAACAGCTGTCACAGAACTATTAAATGGGATAGTGAGCAGAGACCTTGAAGGAGGTGACAGCTGACAGGGTCCAATCAGTTGACAGTAATGGGATAGGAAGGAACCATCTCTGGGATGTACAAAACTATTTTTAACCCCTCCACATATGTTTAAAACCTATCAGCTGCATATTCCATTTACAGCAGATTCACTAAGCTGCATCTTAATGCCCCCAAGCGCATAGTTAACCTATGAGGTGATCACTCTGAATAAGGATCCCCAACATCAGGGAGAGTAACGTCAGGGTGGGAGAAACTTCAGGAGTCCAAGTGCTCTATTACTTTGCGTACACTGCTTAGTCCTGGGGGTAGTGGATGGGTAGAGCTCAGCTGTGGGATCTCTGTGTCTTTATGGGATCCAAGAGAAAGTTTTAACAAATACAAAATGGTGAAAAGGAGTCCTGGGATGGCAAAGATATTTTTTCTCTTCTTTTGCAGAACTCTATTAAACACTATACAGATTACAACCTTTAGCTTTTACATGCAGCTTACAAGCCTTTCCTTACAATTAGAAAATACTCATATTTCCAAGTAAGAGTCTATACTCTTGCTAATGATCAAATTTCTTGTATTTCAGCTTGCATACACCAAAACAATATTGCCAGTTATAACAGTGGAACGACATTGAGTAATGGAAAAGCTAAAGCAAAAATTAAGGAAGTCTTCTCAGTAGTGACATATACTAGACTGCGGAATTGCTTCCAAACTGGAAGATTTTTCTCATGATGTATTTAAAAATAACTCACACAAAATGTTTTTGAATATGAAAAACTCTACCTGCAAATTTTCAGGCAAAGGGGGTGTATACAGATGAGCATATAAGTAGGCAGATAGACAAAAACTACACTAATATTTATATAATGCCTGACAGAAAAGAGTAACATTTGAATCTGTTAAGTCTTATTTCCTATGATTTGGTATTTCCTTTTGAGATGCACAGGACATTAATTGTACTAGTACAGTAAGCTCAGCACATATTAGAAATACTATATATTCCTAGTTTTATGTACTTGTATATCTATTCCAATTCACATGTATTTAGAAATATTTTAGAGTTGCTTATTGATACGATCAGGGCAACTAGGCCAAGAACTGCTTATGATAAAAAAAATATAAATCTGGGTGTATTTGGCAAATCAGTTCAATTGCCAGGCAAAACTACGAAACATTTCTAGCTGCCTGAAATTAAGTGACAGATATATGGAGAAGATTAAATTTGTCGGTGATGTTAATGCACTGTTATGACAAAGCAAATAGCCAGTAGGCTGCAGTTATCACAAGGAGTCAAACTTCAGATACACCTATCAATTCAATGAGTGCTAGTGAGGGCTTAGTGAGTGCTAAACCACTCCAAAGATATAAGATATTGCATACCATATTTCAGTTCAAACTCACCGAGGCAAAACCCTCTTCTCTTGCTTCCTTTCTGTTCAAGAGCTATGAAGGTGCTGGAAATCCCAAGCCTGGATTACAGTACTTTAATAAATACTCTTTACATAGGGCTCTCTTTACAAGCAGGCAATAAAGGGAGTACAAAAAATGTTTGGTTACACCTGCTGTCTAGGCTGACAGAGTATTACTACTTTAAAAAGTAGTAATATTCTTCACAGACTAATGGAGAACTGTTCTTTCCCTGAAAAAAAAAATATTAAAATACGCCCAATAATCCTCCAGTTTTCTCTGCCTTACCTGCTGCATGACTTTTGTGCACGATGGGGATTACCACTGAACATGGCTTCATTGTAAGGCTGTGTTCTGCTGCACTGGAATCTGCTTGGTCCTGGTAATATCAGAAACAACAGCCACAGGAAATTCCTTTTCCTAAAGAAATTTTAAAGAAAATGTTACTTCTTTCACCCTTTTTCTGTTTACCAAAATGCAAACTATGACAGGCAACAACTCCATGATGACATGGCAAAGCAGAGCTATTTGTTTTCCTGTAAGGCGATCAGCCATAATTAGGAAGAAGCAGAAGCACTTAACATTTCTCCTAAAAATTGCAGAGTGGAACTGCACTAAGTGTGGGAGTGAGTTTGGCTTCGTTAGACAACAGCATTTTTCTTAAGCTTATTTCAGAAATTTTGCATGAGCTCCTTCATCTCCCTACTGCTGAAGCACAGGCTTGTTCTGCTAAAGGTGAAGGTGACATTAATGACTCTTTTGTATTTACACATGATCCCTCTTCTTTCCTGCCCATCGGGATGCTGCATGTTTTTCTAAACGGTCCTCTAAATCATTCTGGAGTACAGCAGCTTCTTGCGCTCAGTAAATCGGTAAGATTATGCCAATTTCTTTTTCTATTTCTGAACTTTTTTAATTAAAAGAGGATGACAGAAAAAGAATGCTTTTCCCAAAGCCAGAAAACCACATTTTCACTTGGTTTTGCTAAACCAAACAAGAATTCTTCCATGATCATTAGTTCTTTGGTTAAATTATGAAATACACAGTTCATTGTAAATATTGTCTTGTTTGCCACTACTCACCAATCTATGTGCCTTTATGCTTTCTAGATTGCTATAGCCAACAACTGTCTTTACAATAGGTGATAAATTTTTTAATAATCTGTGATTTATTTAGTGAAGAGAAAAAACGTCCTGAGTAGAAAATGACTTGTTTCTTATTAACATAAACCAACTGCCTGACTTCTAAAGTGTTCTCAGGATATCAGTTCAGTTCCTCACTTTGCCACATGTTTTGTGTATGACCATGACAGGAAAATAAGCCTTCTTGTGTTTCCACTACCCATCGTTAAAGGGAAGTTAATATTTATTTGCTTTGGCTATTAGAAAGTAAACCCTTTAGGACAGTGACTGAGTTTTAATCACTGTATACAGAAACATAAATAAAACCAGTCACCAGTTTTATTTAATTATTTTAGGCATTAATATAGCAAGAAGTTAGACGGCTACATTTTTTATTAAGAAATGGCTTCATGTAGCCAATATGTAGTTCTCCAAGACTATGGCTGTTTTTAAGTCCTCTCAAGAGTGGCATTCAGATACTCCAATCCATTTCTGCAGAGGTGAAGGAAAATGTGAATCACAATCAGATGTTGATGTCTGGGAAATCCTGAGGAAAGCTCCTCCTTCCGAATACGAGAAAATAGCTTTTCAGTATGGTATCACTGATCTGCGTGGGATGCTGAAACGCCTCAAACGCATAAAGAAGGAAGAGAAAAAGAGTACAGGTTGGTGAGCTGTAGTTATTCCAGACATATGTGTTCACATCATCTTCTTTGGGAGTTCTCCAGATATTAACATGAGCTGAACAGCAGCCAGACACCAGAACATGAGAAATAGGAGTTTCCAATTCCAATTATTACATGGTCTTTACATGCAAAACACTGATTACTAAAGATTAAAGCTAGGCCCAAAGCTCTGAGCTACCTTGCTTGGAAACTCTGGATATTCCAAACCTGCTCATTTTACTAGTTTCTTCTACTTATCTTTCCCTGAACATAAGCCACCACCACTACCCCCCCCGCCCCCAAAACTGGTCAGCATGTCAGGAATCAGTGATACAGCTAAAGAATTTAATTTCCATTAGGATGATGCATTTGGAATTCTTCAGCCTTTTTTAGTCTTGTGAAGTAGTAATCGCCTGATTTTAAATAATTTGTTTTAAAAGTCTGAAACAGAGAAGGCAAGCTGCCATTCATTTGTACTGAGAAGGTCAGTGTCGTTTTCCTACATGGGCAGGTGTAGCTGTAACTCTATTTAGGATATGTTGAAGGACAAACTCCTATCTGATTTAGAATATTCCACTTTGCTTATTTAAGTTTCTATCACATGTTTTTCACCCTATGTTAAGTAAAACCAGAAAACAGAACAGGATGAAGAACAGACAGAACTGGTAGAAATGCAAACAGGGATGCAGGAAGTAGAGAAAGTTTAAGATGATAGCAAACAACAGGAAAGGGAATAAAGATTTACTTTCCTGAGAGAGAATGTTTAAAAAAAAATTAGTATAAAAAATGACAAAGATATTCTTTTTAAAAAATAAAAATCGTTATTTTTATATAGCATTCCTCAAGAAACTGGATCCAGCTTACCAAGTGGACAAAGGGCAAAAGATTAAATTAATGGTTGAAGTTGCCAACCCAGATGCTGATGTGAAATGGCTGAAGAATGGACAGGAGATCCAAGTGAGCGGCAGGTAAACCAGACATATGGGAAATCCAAAGATGAATAAGCTACAACTTGGACAAAGTGGAACAACTAACTTTTCTTAGAAAAAAAAGCAATAAATTAGGGAGAAATAGCAGCTGAAGAAGAATCTACATAGTGCTTTGACTGTTCTCATGATGTTTTCTTTTTCTTCCCTCTGCTCTATATATCTACATGTGGAACTGGATGCTTACATCTACCTCCTCAGCAAGTAAGTGCTCAGATTATATTCTGATTGTTCTGTGCATACCCAGGGTTCAATGCTACTTCTTGTGGTATGGGATATACTTCAGTGTAGCTGTAAAACCAATTTCCAGTGATTTTGTGCTGAAGCCATGACAAAGCATTTTTACTGGCAGGCAGGTTTGCTGAATAGCTACATGTTAGAAAAGCACCCAGCACCATTCACAGGAGTTTGTATGTCTCACACTTCCATGAAGATTTATTTCTCCATAACTTCCTATGCTAGTTTTTCCAAACACTACTGCTGTCCACTGCACCAGGGCAGGGATATAGGGCTTGAAGCCTTAACAAACCTTCCCACTGATGTCAGAAAAAAAGAAGGAGCCTTTTTAGAATCACAGAATGGTTTGGGTTGGAAGGGACCTTGTTTCTGCCAGACAGCAGAAGACAGTGACTGGGTCCAAAAGAGTTACTCTCAGATAATTACATTTAGATTCTCTTTTCAGATATATTTTTGAGGCTGTTGGGAATAAGAGAATACTGACCATAAACCACTGCTCTCTGGCTGATGATGCAGCATATGAATGTGTGGTAGGGGAGGAAAAGAGCTTCACAGAATTATTCGTAAAAGGTAAGCAACGGTACCAAAAGGAAAGAGATCTCCCCTAACAATTCGAATTACTGTCACCTTCTCTACTCTCAGATTAGTTAATCTCATAGGAAAGGAAACTTCCAAACATGTACAAATTCTGACATCTATTGAGGTAGATATTTTTCTTATAGTTAAAGGAAGGAAAGCTTTCCCCATAACTGCAACTAAGAAAGCACAGGAAAACAGCACGGTAATGGTTACCATTAATTCTCATTTTGAAAGTGGTTTACATCTTCCAACAACTGGTCTAGAAACTTACTTTAAAAATTTGATTCCGCTCAAGATAAACATGTGCCTCAAGCTCTACAAACAGATCAATCAGTACAGAAAAGTAATGCCTCTAGTTTAAAATTTCAGAATATATATGAAAACTAATTAATCCTACATTTGTATGGTGCCTCATGAAGCAAAAACCAAAAGGTCATTTGATAATACTGATAATGTGATTTGGCATAATAGATTTTCAGTTCCAACAAAGACAGCATCACCATGTATTTAGCCAAGGGCTCCTTCTGTGGAGTGCAGGGTGGTGAGATCTACCTCTGGCCTTCGGTCTTTCAGAATACTCTCTTATTAAAAATCTCTTCATTTCCAGAACCTCCAATCCTGATCACTCACCCACTGGAAGATCAGATGGTGATGGTTGGAGAGAGAGTGGAGTTTGAGTGCGAAGTGTCTGAGGAAGGAGCTACTGTGAAATGGTAAGGTAGCAGAAAAGGGAAAAAAAAAACAAACCAAAAACACACCACCCAAACAACATGAAACCACACCCCTTCATGGGACATTCTAGGACCAGTGTTTGTGGACAAGAGTTGTGGAATAAAAAGGAAGAAGACATAATGGTTTTCAGGAAAAGATTGATCCTCCTCCTATATGTCAAACACTGGGAATATGGCAGAAAAGAAATTAAGTATAGATATTGCATAGTGTCTCTAGAATTTCTCAGCCAGTGTTTCAGGATACCACTGACTGCTGAGCTGTTAGCTTTAAAGTTTTCTAAACACTTGACAGCAGTGTCTAACTATTGCCCAGCATAATCAGATCTGTAATGTGATGAACTTGCTGTACTCTATGGAATCTTTTGGCTTTCTCAACTGCAGTGAGGTGTTTTTTGGTTCGTTTGTTTGTGTTGGGTTTTTTTGAAGTATTTTTTCTTAGGTAAAAAGTCAGTGTCTCTTGAGGGACAAGAGACACTAGAGGGAAAGTCATTGACTTATTTTAACATACCTGTTGTGATGATCCTGCAAAGCCAGTCATTATGCATATGCAGCGAGCAGGATTAAGATGACAAACATTTAGACCATAGAGCCCATTTTGCCGGGCATTCCAGCTGAGTGGAAGCTGGAAGGCTCACACTGCTTGGACAGGCACAGCAGGCAGTGCTCACATACCGAGGCTTACACACACTGTTCTCACTTCATTTCTCTACCAGATGAAATTCTCTTGTGCTTGTTAACAGCTTCAGGCACATGGTTATCAACTGTTCCCACAATGGCCATTACATTCCTGGAAAGTGCCAACCACTCATCTGCTCTCCCAAAGGAAGGAACTGGGAATTTAAATAGAGCCCAAGAGCTAGTACAGCGTATGCATTACACTATTAAAGCCACACGCACAGGCACGCACTCGCTATTGTTGAGGAACTGCTTACAGATAGATGCCTGGTCACAAGAGATGGGGACGAGGAGATCTGTCCCTCTCAGAGCACAGTGCAGCTGCCACACTTTGATCCTCTGCCTTTGAACAACTCCCATACATCTTGCAGAGCTGGTATCTGTGGGATGGGCATTTGGTGTGACAAGGGCAAACCAGCAGCTGTCTCAGCCTGAAATGCAGCAAGTGGTCAGAGAAACTCTTCAAATCATAGCAACGCAATTAGATGTTTACAGTGTATTTTACTGGTTTTTATTAAGTGAGACTCAGTGATCTTTGGCAACAAAGGGAGCCTTTTGGACAACAGAGAGAAGCGTCCAGGGAAAACATGAAACAGTGTGGGGAAAGAGTTCCAGTTTTATGGCTCACTAGGGAAATGCTCAACAGTTTAAGCCAAGTAACAGGCACTAACTCAGGGCACCTGTTATAGCTCTTGCACCCTTTAAACCTGGGATATAAAATCACAAGCACATGAACAAAAGCAATTATGGGACTTGCACAAGACAGAAATAAGACTTACAGCCTCTTAGGCATGGATATCAGACCAGTGCTTGGAGAATTCATTATGTGGGTCTCTTCATAGTAATCGGGAAAGAATGTTTTCTTGATCACCAGGAAAGGTCTCACATTATTATTATGCAGTACTATGGAATAGCTATTTCTAAGCTTCAGATGGTCTTGGAAATAATATAATTCTTGAAGATGTAATAAAATACGTAGTTTTGACCTGATTTTTTCATCTCTGAATGGCGGATGTATCAGTTCCCAAAGAAAACAAACTATAGTAATGTAACCGTATCAATCAATCTGTGCGTCTCCATTATCACATAGTACCTGTATCAGTGATCTCTCAAAAGATATTAATCAATTTATCCTTAGAATTTAAACAGGAAACAGGAAAGCATTTCCAGACAGAAAAAAGAGGCATTGACTGAAAGTTCAGAAGAGGTATTTGATCTTGCAAATGTTTAGGACTTGGATAGACTAAACCATGGCTGACCTACCTATTATTGCACTAGTTCTGTTTCAAGTGTGAGACTGGACCAAATGACCTACAGTGGTCTTTAAACCAACAGTTCTACGGTGGCTGTTGCTTTTTTTATAATCCTGTAACATTACCTTAGATGAAGTTTCTCACTTTTCACTGCAGCAGAAATGATATCTGGGAGTTCTTTTTTGAGGTTTACAGTTTTATCACTCCACTAAGTGTCAGTACACCCCTCTGCACTCTACTCATACACAGTATCAGCAGTGTACTAGTCAGCAAAACAAACACAATTTAAATATACTATTCTCTTCGCAGGGATTTAAGGCACCAGCCATCGCAAATAGTCTATTTTCATTAATTAGGCAAAATTTCAAGAGATCTCTTTCTTACCAATGTCTGAATAGAATATTCAGATAGATTTCATGAGCCACATGTCAAAATACATCACCAAAACATAAATTAAGAAGTTCAGCTTTGGAAAACTAGCCACAGTGCACCTGCCTGGTTTTGCCACAGCAACATATTGAAATTCTGGATTACAGTCCATTTTCAGCAATTCAGCAAAGGTTTAGGCATTGCATTGTAGCACTTGTTTCAGAACTAATCTTCATGAATGAGAATATCAGCCTTAAGAGAGCATCTTGCATGTGGCCTCAGACTCTTGCCACTGAGCAAGCAGAGGAAACATTATCCTGACGTAACACTAAGAGTGTGGTTTCATGTGGTTGTTCTAGGCATCTTCTGTTTCCTCCCTTATTAGCGCTGTAGTCCTGTGATCTGGAAGGGATGCCAGTGTTTTTCTAAATCAACTACAAAGAAACATCCTGATGTAACACTAGGAGTGTGGTTTCATGTGGTTGTTCTGGGCATCCTCTGTTTCCTCCCTTATTAGTCCTCCCTGTAGTCCTGTGATCTGGAATGGATGCCAGTGTTTTTCTAAATCAACTACAAATTCCAGTAAGTTGTGCTGTAAAGAACAGTCAGGAGGGAGTAACATTTTGAAATGCAGCTGCAGCAGGTACATCTAAGGCACAAATTGTAGGATTCCTATCCCCATTTAAAGATTTGATCCTGTGACTTACTTCAGCAGACTCTAACAGAGGCAAAAGGTTTTCTTGCATACATCTACCTGAAAATTACAGCTATAGTATTTTAATGAGTCCCTATGTAGAATTTCAGTTTGCTGTCTTGTAAGCTCATTTGTTAAGCTGAACAGTCACTGGTAACAAATAAGGGCAATAACAAAAGACAGAAAGAAAATTCTTTCTCTATTAAAAGCATAACATCTTTCCTATTAAATTCCAGTAAGTTGTGCTGTAAAGAACAGTCAGGAGGGAGTAACATTTTGAAATGCAGCTGCAGCAGGTACATCTAAGGCACAAATTGTAGGATTCCTATCCCCATTTAAAGATTTGATCCTGTGACTTACTTCAGCAGACTCTAACAGAGGCAAAAGGTTTTCTTGCATACATCTACCTGAAAATTACAGCTATAGTATTTTAATGAGTCCCTATGTAGAATTTCAGTTTGCTGTCTTGTAAGCTCATTTGTTAAGCTGAACAGTCACTGGTAACAAATAAGGGAAATAACAAAAGACAAAGAAAATTCTCTCTCTATTAAAAGCATAACATCTTTCCTATTTCTTTTTCCACTTAAGTACCAAAGAGAAAAACTTTTTCATTTACAAACTGCAGCAGTATTCAAGTAACAAAAATATACTCAAATAATAATGAAAAATATAAAATGTTACAAAAGGAACAGGTTGAGAGTAAGTACCAAAGAGAAAAACTTTTTCACTTACAAACTGCAGCAGTATTCAAGTAACAAAAATATACTCAAATAATAATGAAAAATATAAAATGTTACAAAAGGAACAGGTTGAAGGTATTACAAGTTATTTTCTTGCAGCCTAAGTACCAAAGAGAAAAACTTTTTCATTTACAAACTGCAGCAGTATTCAAGTAACAAAAATATACTCAAATAATAATGAAAAATATAAAATGTTACAAAAAGAATAGGTTGAAGGTATTACAAGTTATTTTCTTGCAGCCTGTTTATATTAGTTATGATTAGTAACAGGAAATCTTCAAAACTTCATATGCATTTTTGTGTGCCCTTGACTAAATAACTTGAATCCTCTCTGCTCGTTTCCCTTCATGACGATTGGAAATTACAATAATTAAATTTCCTCCCAGGCTGGATGGTGAAGCTTAATTTAGTAATGTCTTAAATACACTCTGGCATCCTTGAAATGGAAAGGGCTACAAAATCCAAACTACATCTTCATTTAAATCCATCCTAAAATTTTCTTCTTTTCCTGATGCCCATAAACCATGAGTTTTTAACAATTATCATTCACATCAAGGAAATTAAAACTTTTAAGTCTTTTCCCAGCAAGTCCCATTTACCTTATGGTAGCTTTTTAAATAGTAAATTCCCTGAAGTGTGTCTTCATTCCTGTACCTTCTACAGCATTTCACAAACCTTCATGTTTATCCATAGCATATGAATAGCAACAATCAAGTAATTCCTTGTGAGGGAACTCTCCTGAAGTCAAATATCTAGTGAAAATTAACGGACAAGCTAGAAGCATTCTGGTTCTGGCTCCACTAACATTTGTGCAATGGTCTCTTTTTCACTAACTTGAAATGCTACAGAGACTGGATTCATCTTGTGTCTTCCAATCCTTAGTAACATTGACCTGAATCTTATTCTCCTCCTCCAACCATAGAAAAATGACTCAACACTATTTGGCATTGCAGGGAAAACTTCATCCCTGTACCTTCTACAGCATTTCACATACCTTCATGTTTATCCACAGCATATGAATAGCAACAATCAAGTAATTCCTTGTGAGGGAACTCTCCTGAAGTCAAATATCTAGTGAAAATTAACGGACAAGCTAGAAGCATTCTGGTTCTGGCTCCACTAACATTTGTGCAATGGTCTCTTTTTCACTAACTTGAAATGCTACAGAGACTGGATTCATCTTGTGTCTTCCAATCCTTAGTAACATTGACCTGAGTCTTATTCTCCTCTTCCAACCATAGAAAAATGACTCCACACTCTTTGGCATTGCAGGGAAAAGGACGGAGTTGAGCTGACACGGGAAGAAACATTCAAATACCGATTCAAGAAAGATGGAAAAAAGCAGTATCTAATTATTAATGAGTCAACCAAGGAGGACAGTGGACACTACACTGTGAAGACCAATGGTGGGGTATCAGTCGCTGAACTCATTGTGCAAGGTAGGCACAGGTATTATTACAGAAACAGAGAAGCTGAAAAAAGAAAACAAGCTGAAGGTAACCTTCTCCAGGATAGTTCACAGGGGCAGCATAATCCTTAGCCAGGGAAAAGGAAGACTTAATAAGGGGCATAAGGTTTGATAATAAAGGCCTCAAGGAGAAGTCAGACCTGTGTGCCGGATGTAACAGATACCCTGATAATAACAGGCGCTTAGCTCTCGGTCAGTTAAAGCCTGTATGCTATGGGTTTCCCTTCATCTTTCACCCTTCCACAAACAGATTGCTCAGCCTGAGCCTTTTCTACTCAGTAACTCCACACTAACTGTCTACCACAGAGCTATTCTGATTTGTTGATGTGTGTATCGATTACTTTCACAATATCAGAGAAAAAGCTGGAGGTTTATCAGAGCATTGCGGACCTGACAGTGAAGGCACGTGACCAGGCAGTCTTCAAGTGTGAAGTTTCTGATGAAAACGTGAAAGGAATCTGGTTGAAAAACGGAAAGGAGGTGGTCCCAAATGAAAGGATAAAGATCTCCCATATTGGCAGGTTAGTCTTGTTTCAGAAAAAAAGGTACAGGCTTGGGTATTGCGTTACAATTCACAGGAACTATTATCTCAGATGATAGGAATATAAGGCAAAACTTTGTCCTGGCTCCAGCTATAAGGAAAAATATCAAAAACCTTCTCTTATGCAATCAATATACAGTGACAGACTTGCTTTGGTACGCATACAGTCTTTCAGTGTTGGCATATTTTGCATGTATTGCATCAGTGGTATATCAGCAGAATTCATTCTCCATTTTCATTAGGATTTCATGTTTTGTTGCTATTCAAACAATCCAGACAATACATTGTTGATAACTTTAGAATTAGCAGTAGTGTTTAGAGAGATTAAGATAGCACTGATGTATAAACCCCTTCAGAAAAATTAGTGTTTATACTAACATATACAGGTGTGCAATTCTGTGCTCAAGTTTCTTAGCATTTTAACTACTAATGGGAATGGAGACCAAGAAAATTCAGAAGATACACAAACATTGCATGTTAGGTAAAGCCTTCTTTGGTACTTCCTTTTTGTATCCTGTTTTGAATTTACAATAATACAGGGAGGGAGCATCAAGTTTTAGCTTGTTTGTTCAGAATTTATTGGAGTCACAACCTGATCAAATGAAACCAGTCAGTAGTGTTACAACTACCCTAGTAACGGTAAAGGACTTGACTAAAGCAGAGGAACTGCTTCCTCTATTCAGACTGGACATACAAATCCATTCATAGACAACATGCTGACGTGGATTTGCTTGAATACTGGAAGTAGAACAGTCTACAGCCCTGACAGTTATTGACCTGATGTTAGGGCAAGTGGAGAAGAAATAGTAACGTCCTTGATTATCCTGTAGCCTGCACCTCGTCTCTTGAGATAGCCCTGTTTCTCCTGGGGAGGTAAGGTAAGGGAGTGGAATATATTTTTTTCATGTTTCCAGAATCCATAAGCTAACTATTGAGGATGTAACACCAGATGACGAGGCTGATTATTCCTTCATCCCTCAGGGATTTGCTTACAACCTTTCTGCCAAGCTTCAGTTTTTGGGTAAGTTATCTTCAAATAAGTACTAGAAATTGCAGAGGAATAAAAATGATGGCATTAATCATGGTTATACCAGGAAAGAGTAGGCAGAATCGCTTTTCTGGTACCTCAATATAGACACACAGGTCTTCCCTGTCACTTTGTGTTATTATTAACACATTGTTTTACAGAGCCTGTTTTCCAGTTTATTGCATTAATCTGTTGATATACGTGCCTTATGAGATTTTAATGATGAATAGTTTTGAAATTACTGGGTACAGATACTATGTAAATTCTGTTTTCTGATCTATTTTTCCCCCCCTTCTTTTTCCTTCAGAGGTCAAGATTGATTTTGTACCAAGAGAAGGTAAGAACAGCAGTTATTCTTTATATGCAAGTAAATATGTTTTAAATTTCAAAAGAAGCAGTGTATTTTCATTTTTAATTTAATACATGAATATTCACCTTGGTTTTTTCTCTATACAGAACACTCAAACTATGTTTAAAACCTATTTTCTCTGCCCTTGCTACAGAACCTCCCAAAATCCATCTTGACTGTCTGGGCCAATCCCCTGACACCATTGTTGTGGTGGCTGGGAACAAACTGAGATTGGATGTTCCCATATCAGGAGATCCAACACCCACTGTCATCTGGCAGAAAGTAAACAAGGTAATGTGTATCCTGACACAATGTTTGAAGCAGAGAAGTTCATTTTCTTTCTCAAATCTTACTTCGATTTACAATTCTTAGTTGCAAGGATTTTCATCTCCCTTTTAATCTTATTTTTTTTAAACCTCAAGAAAATAAAATAATTAAATAGCTGAAATGCAGCTGTTTGCTATTTAGTTGTTTTTGTGAGAGTCATCCTGACCTGTTCTTTTCCTGAACCATTGCCTGTTTTTCTATTCTAAAAGAAGGGACTGAATGTGAGTAGACACATGTACATAAAGACAATAGGATATTGTGCAGGTTTATTCTCTTCCTACCTCACAGAAAAAGAAAGAAATTATTCACCCCCAAGACCTTCATCTTTTAGGATGAACACGTTCTGGAGATGGCAGCTTTGTTTAAAAAAAAAAAAGAAAAAAAAAAAAAAAAAAAAAAAAAAAAATCTCTCTCAAGAATTCTAGAATCTGTGAAGAAAATATCTTAGCAGACCACTGGGGCAAAACTGCATTTCATATAATAAAAACAGAGGACCCTTGCTATTTGCATTATCAAAGCAATTACAAAACATCAAAGAATTTAGCAACGACACAAAATGTTAGCCAAAAAGGAAGCTTGCTTATCTCAGAACATCCCCAGTCCTCACCATCTGTAAGCTCTTGAGCTATAACTAGCACATAACACAGAAATACTTTGCATAATATTCTACAGCATCATTACATTTACCAAAGATGTAGACAAAATACATTTTGCCATGATTCTGCCACATTCTTTTTTCAGGTTAGCGTATTTAATAACACTTAGGACATTTTTCTGCAATGCAGAATTAGTGTAAAAAAAAAAACAAAACACCAACAAAAAAAGCCACTTGTCTCTCATTTGGGAACTAAGAAATTGACTCTCTCATACACAAGTTTCTCTGACAAAATGGTGACTGGGTATCTGACAACCCCAATACAGTGTTACTTCTAAGACATTAGGTCTCAAGATATGAGTAAAAGAAGCCAGCCTTGTCTTGAAAGATGTACAGTATATACTTACTAATGAAATCCTAAACAAACAGTAGCACAGCTTCAGAATACATTGTTTGTTGTGTTGTAGACCTGACTATACTTCTCAGTGTTAAAACATTCACATTGACTTATTATCCAACTGTTACAGAAATAAGTAATTTCTTTTTGTAGTTCTACAAGATGAGTAACTAGCACCACGGGACACAGTCAGATTCACCACCAGTTATAAATCTACTGTGGGAATGTCATGCATCTTTGTTTGTTAAACTGTAAATTTGGTTTTGCCAATTTATCCTTTCCTTAATCCACTGCAGTCTGATATATCTATTTCTATTTCTGCTTTTTACTTTCATATCACTTGATTTCCTTCCCAGGTCTGCTTGCTGCCTCACGTTACTCCTCATTTTTCTTACACCTCTATATTCAAAGCCCTCTAACAAACCTATGGACTCTTCTCCATCTTGCTTAAACAGCTTTACTGCTCTGCTCAGAAAGACTTAGCTGACTTTCTGTGGTTTCTTTGCTTATCTAGAAAACTGACCTTGTTCGAAGCAATGATGATTCCATGACTCCCTCAGAAAATGGCAGTGATTTAAATATTGATAGTAAGGTAAGTTCCTTACTATTTACGTAGACAGATAAATACGCTTAGCATTTTCCAGATAAAAAGGCCTATTCAGAAGAAAATAAAATTAAAGTCAGTAGATATAAAAACTGGTGAAGCAAATAGCACATCAGGTCCAACACCCTGCCTCACAATGCTGATTACCAAACACTTTGAATGGGCATAAGAGATTTAGTAAGATGCTGATTGAGGAAAGCTCTTTCTAATCACCATCACATGGTGGCTGGATTACAAGGAATCAAAGCAGTTGTTTGAAAACTCCTTTTAATATGTTTGTGAATGTTTATCACTTCCCCCTCACCCCAACTAACCTGTAAGCTTCAATAATAGCTACTGGAAAAAAAACTGGGGCGAAAAAAGTATTACAGGACACAGAGAAAGACAACAATAGGTCAAGAGAGTGGACTAGATGTACAAAACAGTGGAAGAGGATACATTTTCCAACAATTTTCATTTTTGTCATAAATAACTTCTTCATTTGGATAAATTAAAAATATTTTACATTTATTATGTACTAATAAACCTTTCTCAGGGTTAGGGTTCTGCTTTACTAGCCACTATGCAGGCATATATGCTTTCTAATCATTCCTGTTCTAAGTCTAAAGATATGTGGGCACATAAAGATGAGAGAAGAAGAAAGGACCACAGCAAAGTTGTGGTCATTCTGTTTAGACCACAGCTCAGAGAAAAGCAGAAAGCTACCCCTATGACATTCTTGAGTGACAGAAATCATACCGATGCCATTAACTGTTACAAGAAGCTTGGTAAACTTTTTAGAGGGATATTGTTCGAATCTATGTTACCTGATGCCAAATGTTGACCAGGAAAGTTTGCTCAACCATTTGAATTTGAATTTGCAAGTCATCTTGAATTTACACAGTACCCAACTGCTATATACGATACTCTTTCAATTTATACTAGCAGTTATCCCAAGCAGGAATTTGAGGAAGTACTTAGTAACTTTGAAACATAACTGGGTATGTGTAACTAGCAACAAATCTTAACAGCCTGCAGACATTCAGAATCAATTTTCCCAAATGTTATTTATGTGAGCCACTTAGTCTATCTACTCTCTCTTCTACATACAACTAAAACTTGAAATACTTTATAGCTTTTCAATAATTTGGATAATATTCAATGATTTGAAGATTTTTGCTAGCTTACATGCTTGCTCATCAGGCTGTCCCTGACACAACTTACAATGACTTTGTTCCTTTCACTGCCCCCAGCTTCTGTTTGAATCTGAAGGCAGAGTTCGTGTGGAGATGCATGAAGACCACTGTGTCTTCATCATTGAAGGAGCAGAAAAGGAGGATGAGGGAGTATACAGAGTTACAGTTAAGAATCCAGTGGGAGAAGATAAGGCTGATATCACCGTCAAAGTTATTGGTAAGTGAAGGAAGGAAACAACCAGAGCACGAAAGCATCTCGAGTTCACCAAAACTCGCCCTTCTCTAAAACTGAGGCAAGTTCTGACTTTAGGTTTAAAAAAACAGAAAAGAATCATAAAAACAGGAATACTATCAATCACAAAATTTGGCAGAAGTATTTTTCACAGGAAGTTGCCTTCTGTGTGAAAAGGTAAGAGAACAACTCTTAGTAGAAACCCATGTATTTGCTTTTTATATATCTCCAGTTTCAGGTGATTCTATTATTTTATAGATGACATTCCCTTCTGAAGTATATGCTTCATGCTTGTCTAAGATAAGAAAAGCTTCTTGTAATTTTGTTGTGGCTTACGTTTTTAAGCAAAAATTACTTCATTTTATAAGCAGTAAATGGTTAATGGAATAAAGACACATAATGTATCTGACATAAAATAAACAGATTGCCACTGTGAGTCACAGAAGAGCTGGGGGGAATGTGATTTTGAGTCAGTAATTCTTATAAAATTTTTCATAATATTTATCTTGTTTATACCCTGCCACACACATGACAAAAGGTCAGGTTATAAGTAAATTTAGAAATGATAAAAGAAAATTATTTTTGCCTATAGTATTAAAATTTAGATTTCACTGCTTAGGATTTATAGAATATGAGAAGAGACTTAGTATTTGCTTAAGGTAGGATATTTGCTATGAATATCTCCAAAATAACAAAATAATGGGAGACATGCAGCCATTATAAAGTGTATTATAGAGAAAATAGGAAACCCTGGAGCAAACCTCTTCTTACAGAACAGAATTACCTTGTAACCTTATATTTTTGCAAAAAGTTGAGTATCTGGGAAGAACAAGGGAGCTGAATAATCAAATGGTATTTTAAAGGAAAACCAACCTGACAGAAGCACCAAAGAGCAGGATTCACTCTAGACTAAGATAATACATTCTTGATTGTACCTGCTGTTTCTACCTGACAAAGCTGAATCAATACAATATGGAAAAAAAAGTTAAATATTTCATGACTTGTACACAGAAATTGAAACAGTAACAACTCTCATTCTCACACTTTCTTCAGATGTTCCTGACCCTCCAGAAGCTCCCAAAATCAGCAACATTGGGGAAGATTACTGTACTGTGCAGTGGCAACCTCCTAAATACGATGGTGGGCAACCTGTGCTTGGTAAGAAGTGCTAAAAAACGTCCCCAGCAGCCTTGCCTATATTTTTGCCGCTCCTTCAAAATGGCATAGAAGGATTCTCTATGTTTATTCACTCTAGGAAGGCCCATTCTCAGAAATTAACTACCCTAATATGTCAAACCTTTAAACTGGTCTAGATTCTGGTCCTTCAATTTTAGGGAGAGAGTGCCCCCTACCCGTGCTATTTGAATCAGAGAAATATTTCAGCAAATAAATTACCAAAGCACAAGAAAGTGATACCAAAAAATAGTTAAAGCTAAATATTCTCATTCAAGGCTGAATTTTTAGGTCAGTACACAGGCCTTTGGACTTCCCTAGGAATCCCAAGACAGATCTGTGGCCACTTCAGCCATCAACTCCACCCATCTGCAGTCTCAAGCACTCATGCAATACAGGTTTCTTTCAGGAAACCACTTCATAATTCTACTCCATAAACAAACAACCATATACCACAGGTCACAAAACACCTTTCAGTCATTTTAATTACCTTAAAATCTCTACTAAAAACTAGAGGCCAAAGTTATCATGTGATGCAGGAAATGGGGAGAAGCAATCAAGAATATCACCAATATCATTTTACATTCTCTGCAGAGCATGGTACTTTTTAGATAAAACTCCCTGTGATCCTCAGAACAAAAAGAAAATAATGCAGGATCTTGGCCAGTTTTAGGGAAAAATTTCTCTGGACTCCAAATATAGTAATTTTTAAAATAAACTCAAACTCTTCTTTTCAAAAAAATACACTGAAAGCTATATGGATTCCCATGGGGCTGCCAGTACTCTAAAATTCTTTTGACCCCCTTCATAGCCTCTGGAAGAGAGGAGTTTGTATTTGCTTTTGGATATTTGGACTTCCCTTCCACAACAAGAGAGCAACCTCATTTAATTCAACAGAAGTTATCTGTGCAGGAATAAGTAAGATACTACTGGTCCAGTCCTTTGTAATTTCATCTGTTTTGAGAGGAAGCACGTAAAAAGTTAACAATTTAGACTGTTATGTGCGAAGCTATATACCAATAGGTGTCCTGTTACCACAGCCAACCCACCCACCACCTCACCCTAACTATGCAAAGCCCGTGATGCATTTTTGTAGAGTTTTCAGACACATATATTAGAAATTTCTTTGGTTTGTTTTCACTGTCAAAGGAATGATTTTGTTAATGTTCCACTAACAACCCTTTACACTACATGAGGAGGCTTCTTCAGTTAAGGCAGGACTGTACTACTAATAGAGCTAGAATAAAACACCCGGGGGGAAAGAAGGGTGGGGAAGCCAAGATGCAGCACCATCCATTCAAGTTTTAAAAGCAAGTTAAAAAGGCAGGGGGGGAAGGCATATGCATTCTCATCTGTCTTCATATTGTTACAGATGGCATTGTAGGCAGTCTGCTACAGTCATTACTAGCTATATCCAACAAACACAGAAAAGAAATTCATACCCCATCTTCACTGTTATGCAAAGCTTTCACGGGGTCTCATGTAGTCTCTCTATTACTAGAGCAGTATCTTTATCTATCACACATTCTGTGCATTTGGGGAAATAATCTGCTTTACCAAATGTCACCAATAGTACCAGTATTGTCTTTTTATGTCCTTTTTACTTTTTTTTAACAAATTGGAATTCTGGTATGCCACAGTGAAGAAGTGTCTCAGTTCTGACAGGAAACTGTGCGTATCTAAAAATGGCAGAAAACCAGAAACTGAGTTGCTGAAACTTCTCAAAGTCTCACAGACCATGGTGAAGAGAGAAAAAAGCAGGAACACGTCAAAGAAACCATAGGTTCTTTGCTTACAGCATTTAACTCTGATTAAAAGCTACTGAAAACAAGCATGCTAGAAGGAACTTTATACATCAGAAGTGATGATACAACCTGTCAGCTCAAAGGTGCTTTCACCACTCATTTCCCCAAACATTCCGTAGACTCCCATGCTCTTGCAATTCAGTGTAGACAGAAAAGCCTCCTGATGCACGATGTCTGTGCCTATAATATGTTAGCAAATGTACCTGTTCTCCATCTCTTGCACTTACACCATCTGAAGGATCATACTTTCCAGGTGTACCAAAGGGACATACTTTCCAGGTGTACCAAAGGGACATCAGATAGTTCAACAGCCTTGACATACCCTCTTTAGACTATGGGTAGAAACAGACATACTATATATATATAAATGTAGTACACGTAGATCACTATTCAGTGTATTTTCTGATTATTCACTCCAAAGTAAAAAAATTAATAACTTTAAAAACAAAACGTGTTTAAAAGAAGACTATATGCATCACATCCAGACATACCATCTGCAACACAGAGGAGCAGCAGACATTTAATATAGCTAGATGGAAAGAAACCTGATAACTCTTTTGTAACAGGTCACTGGAAAATAATTTATACAAACGTTTCAAATGTGATATATCACCATCCTCCATATTAGGGATCAAGAATGACAAATTTCATTCACAGTTTTGGGAAACGAGAAGTTTATCTTTTAAACCAATAGACTTAGTCATTCTAAAAAACATCAGGGTAGCGTGGGAAAGGCTGTGGGTGTTGAGGTGGCAAGAGAGATGTACTAAAGACCCGGATTCTGGACACACAGACTACACCTAAGCTGTACTATGCATTTGTTCTGCAGTGCACCCAGCTCTCTTGGTTCTCTATAATCATACAACTTCACTTTCCCCCCCAGAAGGAATTAGAAGGGGGGAAAAAAAAATAATGCTGTGTGGCCAGGACTCATTTCACTATAGAGCTGAAGCAGAGCTGGGATCTGCACCATCTGGGAAGCACCCTATTGCAATTCCACTTGCAATAGACCCAGAGATGTAATGTAAGTTCTTTGATGAGTCATTTAAAAAAAAAAAAAAACAAAAACCAAAACCAACCCAAAACCAAAGGAAAGCATCAAACTCTTCTTCCAACTAGTTTTTTGCTTTGGGATTTATGCTGTTAGTCAAGATAAGTGAATTGCAGCAGAATATAAAAAAGAAATTAATTTTTTAACTCTGTCCCATCTTACACATTTCAAGGCAATTTGTCCTTCACTGAAAGGACAAATTCTGCTGAACTGTCGTGTCCCGTTAATTTCTCTGCCATTAGGAGTGAATGACCACATTCTGACCAGAAAGCACTTAGCACTTAAACCAGCTCTGCTAGTATCTCTATTTTGCATACATCTAAATACCTTAATAATAATCTATAGCATGCAAAATGTGCATAAAGCCTAGTAACAGACATAGACAATTCTAAATAACTTCTACTCTGAAAAAAGTATACTTGTTCTGCTAAGAATGTCATAGAGAAGGAAAGTAACACAAAAAGAAGCTGCAGGAAAACACCAAAGTGTCACACAATTCAATTATATACAATAATTCTGAATCACATATGGCTATTTTCTACCATTGGGGGGGGGAAGTGATTTTCTTTTTTCCTGCATTTTAGAGAATAATTTGCAGTTGTTTTACATTATGAGAGCTATTCTTTCCAGGCTACATTTTAGAGAGAAAGAAAAAGAAGAGCTATCGATGGATGAGACTGAACTTTGACCTTTTAAAAGAGCTAACCTATGAAGCCAAGCGAATGATTGAAGGAGTAGTTTATGAGATGCGGATTTATGCTGTGAATTCTATTGGCATGTCCCGGCCGAGCCCTGCCTCACAACCCTTCATGCCAATTGGTGAGTTTTACCACACTCTGTATTATTTCTAGGACAAAACCAAGACAGGACAATTTTCACCTCTTCTCTTCAACTGTCCTGATACGTAAAAAGAATGTATTAGAAAAGACGATCAACCATCTCTATATACTGCAATCAACCTTTCCCTTTGTAATCTTCCTCTTTTCTATCTCTCATTCCCCCTCCTGAGAAGCACTGAGGTTCCAGTTTCATGAAATTGCTGATGAATTTTTAGTTGTTATAATTAGAAGTGTGAGAGTCAAGCTGGATCTGGAAAGGAGGAGAACTAATTGACAGAAATCTTCCTGTCCCTCTCAGCTTCCCCCATTCCCTTATGAGTGCAAATATCACAGTATCCCACCCAGTACTCCCACCCAATCCTGGCCCTGTCCACAGCTAAAAGGATAGCTGATTAAGAAAATATTTGAGGAATGATTTTCTATAAATAATCCTTCCCAACACAGCAGTGCAGTGTCTCTTGCGGTCCCTGAGCAAGGAGCAAGCTAAAGAAGTCCTCAGGGAGCTTGGCTGCTAAGAGCTTTAGAAAGAAGACCCACAAAAATCCAAATAGCTGAAGGCTGAAATGACTAGAGTTGCTAAATCTACAAATAACAGAGAAGGGGGACAGCCTGCTGAAGGAGATAACATAGAAGCAGACGATGCAGTGAAGGAGTCAGAAGGAAAGGATGAACTGCAAGAAGAGGCTCTTAGTTCTGGATTTCAAACACAAAACGGCTGGTCTGCAACAAAAGAAGGCAAACAGAAATCATCAAGTGGAGCTACTGAAAAAAAAGGTCCAAAGTTTTCATGGGATAGGCAGAATTTTACTTGATTAAGGATAAAGTTCACGCATATACTGCTTCAGAGACAAAGTTCAGGGGTTTGATGGTGCACTTTGTGGTTGTCTATATTCCCAACTGCCTTTGCCTCCTGGGTGCTGTTCAGAGCCCTTGCTCCTGTTTGAATATGAAAAATTTTGATACAGCTACAGAAAAGAAACTGGGTGATATTTATTCTTTTTCTTTACAATAATTTTGGAAACTAGGATCAATTTCCATCAGTTGCACAAATTATAAACCTGTATTTAACTTACTTTATATATGAAATATTTATAATATGTACAATCTGTTATGTATATTCAAATGATGATGTTTATAATATATATACACAGACTATGCCAAATATACATTTCTTTAACATGATTGATTTTATGCCACGTATACTAAGTTTTGTGTTCCAGCATTCCAAATGCTATTTTGAAAAAGTTATCTTTCTGCTTGCTCTTTGGAATCAATGATTTCACAACAGCCTTTTTGTGTATTTGGGATTCTCTAGTAAGAGCTTTTCTTGATTGTTTTTTAATTAGTAGACTACAGTCATGCTTAGTCTGAATTGAGCAAGTGGTCTTTCTGAACTATGGATTTAGAGAGCCATGACACTCCAGCTCTGAAAATATATGAAATAGCTACATTTAACTGAAGTGAAGATTCTTCAGCCCCAAAATATTTTTCCCAGGCATGTCTCTATTACAAATGTGCAAATCAGAACCAGTGTTTCTGTAAACATGTGGTCAAAACTTTTGGTCATTTTCTCCACTGCTAGAGGAAAGTGAGTGAAGTCAGATTTAGCCACTGATGAATTTTGTCCTCTGACTGTATGAATTTTGTCTAATTACAACGTGGGTGAAAGCACAGCATATAAATTTTCTGCATTTTTGTTTCTAAACTTTTCTGCAGATTTCTGCTGATAATTTGACTCCCTTCTACAACTTCTTTTTTTATTGGCTTTTACTCAGAGAGCATATGGGAATAGGAAGCACTTTACCTCTTCACAGAATCACAGAATTGTCGGAGTTGGAAGGGACCTCTAAAGATCATCTAGTCCAACTCCCCTGCTACAACAGGATTGCCTAGAGCACATTACACTTGTTCATCTCCCTGCTATAGGAATCTCATGCTGCTCTTGTATTAAATCAAGTATTAGGTGTTACATTTTACAACTGAGCTTCAGCTGAATTTACTTTATTAAAATAGAGAGTGGTATATAATTCAGCTGCTAATCACTCCCTCTATAGCTGTCGAATAGCTGTTATATTGCTATTTCTCAGAATTTACTTCTGCATATTTCTTTATAGCTCCTCCAAGTGAACCAACCCACTTCACAGTGGAAGACGTTTCTGACAACACTGTTACCTTGAAATGGAGACCCCCTGAGCGGATTGGAGCTGGGGGATTAGATGGTTATATTGTGGAATATTGCAAAGATGGATGTAAGTATGCACTAGTACTAGGCAGCAGCAACTGAACCTTATTAAAATACTCCAATTTCAATAGCTTCACTGAAACATCCCAATAAATTAACCATATCCAGTATGATTAGATTTGTGCTCTAATCTATAACTAACATCCTTGCTAACCAGACTTAACACGAAATGACTGTAAAACCATGAAAATGACATCAACCATAACATAATCTTCACAAACATCATAAAATTTCATATAGGAAAGTACTGCAAAAGTACCAGTACTGTTCTACAGTCACTACTGAACTTTTGTAGCATAAAAACATGATTGTAATGACAGTCAAACTTTCAGATAACTGTCACCATTTAATACTTGTGGTCTGATAAATGAGAGTATTACCACACCGTATTTACAACATTCAATTTATTGTGATGCTACAACGTAACACTTATGTCATAAAAATCAAATAAACTTATAACCATGTCATGAAATTTTCCCTGACACTAAGCTCTATTGCCATATAACCTAAACTGTACAATTTACCCAGAAATAACTCAATAGTCTTTAACGAGATCATTATGGAATTACCAGAATCGCTATGTCATCATCACAGAAGAATGATTTTATCAGTCATACTTCTGTGTCACAACTGAGGAAGCCCAAAGAATGCTGTTCTACAGTGTCAACTGAGAAGTTAGTAACCAATCCCAACAGTAACGTGCCCTATTATTGTTTTCAGCACATGTGGCTCTCACCAATCTGTTTTGACACCCACAGGAGATACTTACTTTAAAAAAAAAAAAAAATTAGGCCTTCACTTTCTTGCTAAAAATACTTCCAAAATTCTATCACTTTAAAAAAAAAAATTAGGCCTTCAGTTTCTTGCTAAAAATACTTCCAAAATTCTATGTTCTCACCTCTTGCTACTGAAAATAAATGTAGAGAAGCCCCACAGCTCTAAGCTCCAGAAAACACAATGCCAAAGGAACTATCCAAAGATGATTCCCTCACCCTTAGCTATTTTGAATAAACAAAGTGCATACATTCCTTAACTTCATGTGTAAACACATCTTCTAGATGCAGAGTTCTTTTCCAGCTTAGTTTATTCCATTTTAAGTGTAGTATACCATGTTAAATTCATTTTACCCTAGTAAAAAATGTGCTGGCAACTGTAGACAAAGCATCAGTTTGGAAAAACTAATATAGTATTACAATATGTAAATCCTGTACTTACAGCTACAGAATGGATTCCAGCTCTTCCTGGCCTTACTGAGCGCACATCTGCAATGATTAAAGACCTGGTCACAGGGGACAAACTTCACTTCCGTATCAAGGCTATAAACCTGGCTGGTGAGAGTGGAGCAGCAATAATCAAAGAGCCCGTTACTGTTCAAGAGATCCTGCGTGAGTATCTAGACTGAATAAATCTTATTCATTTATTTCTTCTGGTCAAAATTCTAATCATGTACAAATCCAGGTAAACTCTGGGACCGACAGGCCTGTGCTGCCTTCAGAGAATAACATCCAAACAGCTCTTTCACTTTGATTACGTGCCCAGTATCTTCTGATTCTGAGAACATTGCTATACTGTCCAGGTCTTCTATTTCTACAGCATAGCTCTTAAAACCAAATCCCCCTTCTTACTATCAAAATATGGACATTTCGCCTCTTGTAATGGCACTGTTAGCATTTAAGAGACAGGTTTTAATATTTAGCTCTCTGCTGTAAAAGCTGTTAAGTTACTTCAAAATGACCACGTTGGCTGAAGCAAGAGATCTATTTAAATAAAAGCAGTTATTGTACTCAATTGTCCTAGATTATTAATTAACACCCTGTGTATCACCCAACAGCAGTAGATTATCTTTTGGACTCCTGTCAAATGAATTATATCAAGAGCTGCTAATAGTGGATTGCCCAACCTTGACTCACACAGAGTCTGCCAGAGTCTGACTGACAGTAGAATTACTCAGTGTAAATGAAATGAAGTTGTAATGCATCTAAAAACTAAACAGACATGAAGACAAATACTCCAACTGTACATTAAGAAATTCTTCCTGTAAATGACTAGGAAAAGAATAAGGAACACATGGAGAACACAGAAAGCTTTCCAGTGGGGTAGAGGAAAGCAGGGGCTAGATGAAAGAACGTGCAATAAGGTCCTCTTTTTGTTAGTGAAAAGTAAGCAGCTACAATGTGACTCTACTCCTTCCACCTCAAAGAAAGAATTAGCACTGATTGACTGTAGAAAGGTAAAGGATATCCATTGATTGCTCTACTTTCTAAGTAAGTCGATAAATATCTCCAAATGGCAGTTTACAAGGAGCTGTAGTATTACTTTTGTCCCATCCCTTCTACTGAACTGATAAAGTTCTCCAAACAAACAGAAGTCCACATAAAAGGCTCACACCCAAGGGAAGGCACCCAAATCTGGCATTTCAAATGCAACAGACTTTCCCAAGACCTGCTGTCAGTGTAACCTGCTCGGTTGTAAATATGTAACTGAGATCTGCTACTAAATTTGTTTACAGTAGCCAAATACCTTTGAAAATACTTAAGAGAACTAACTACTCCCGAACTGTATAAAAGCGTTTGCACAATTTTCTTATGTTTACAAGTACCCAAGCCCCTCCTCTTTGGTGTTTTGTCTTATTTGTGCTATAAGCAATATTACAAATTATTAAAAGCTTTGTATTTAATGTACTAATGCTTAACTGCAGAGCGTCCCAAAATCTGGTTGCCACGCCACCTCAGACAGACTCTGGTGAAGAAAGTGGGTGAAACAATCAATATCGTGATTCCTTTCCAGGTATGTATCACCTTTTATTTTGCCATGGTTATTTATCATTATTCACTTAAAGCAGTTTCCCTTACGCAAGTTCCCGTTGCTTCACTGCTTAAGCAGTATTACATAAAGTATGGCTGATGATATAAACAATGCTCTCAAAGATTAAAGAAAGAAGGAAAAGAAAAATCACTCTTCTTTCAGTCACAATTTTTATTTTTACTGTCAGTTTCTTCTGTAATCCCTCCTTTTGGGGAAGAAGAACAAGTGCATGCTGTAAGCATGTGCAAGCCCATTCTTGCTTATTGACCATAGGACATATCTTAAAGACGGAAGTAAACAAAAGCATAGGAATTCAACCAGCTGCTCTTCTAGAGCCAAATTACATGTTGTTACTGGGTAACTACTTTGCCACAATCATGTATGTTCATTTCTGAAAGGTCAACTATAAGAATTAGAATTTGTATGTAAACAGAATATCACAATTGGTCCTATGTAGGAGCTATGAGTATACGAAGAATAGCTTGGCTATTACTGCACATGAGCTCAAGGCATAAAAAACACAGCATGCTGAGGATAATCGAGCGCCTGCACGTAACCACATATGCCACATGCAAGACTATGATATCAATACAGTGAAAGAATTAGCATGTGAATGGAAAAGGTTTTCCGAGTGAGACATAGGAAAAGAAACTGGAGATTCTGGCTCTGACAGAGATATCCTCTGTAATAATAGATATAGCATTTAATCTAGTCCTCATTTATAATTTAAGGAAACTAAAATTTCTTTGTTGTCCCCAGCTGTCACTTATGAAAAGGTAATCATTGCTATTAGTGAAGAGTTTTTAAATTCTCATGTAAAAGATGCTGAAGATATGGAAAA